GCCCCGGGAGGACGCCATCGGGAACCTCACGGCGTCGCCGACGGCGTTACCCAAATTTGGGTGACCAAACGCCTGTTACCAAATTTCGGATGATGAATTTTTCGTCACCAAAATTTGGGCAACGAAGTTGCATCACCCATTTAAAGGGTGATGGTGGTGACCAATTCATTCTCAGTGATGGTGGTGCAGCTGACTTCGTAACATACCATTCAGAATTCACTGTAGCTTATAGATATTTTGACGAATTTCGTTGGTATTATGGAGAAAATCTCCACCATAATATGTTGGTGCAGCCTTTCACTGTAAGACATTTACTGTGCAGGCGCGTGCCTCTCTCTCTCTCTCTCTCTCTCTCTCTCTCTCTCTCTCTCTCTCTCTCTCTCTCTCTCTCACTCTCTCTCTCTCTCACTCTCTCCTCTCACTCTCTCACTCTCTCTTCTCTCTCTCTCTCTCTCTCTCCCCCCTCTCTTCCTTTTTTTTTTTTTTTTTTTTGGGGGGGGGGGGGGTTCGTATATGTGTGGGTATGGCTGCCGCGAGGTCCAGGACATAAGAGATTCCACCGCGGCCGGCCGTAGAGTCCTGCAGAAGCCCCTGCGAGATGAGGCGGTAGGCATCCACCACACACTGGCGTCTGGCGGGCGTGCCTACCTTCCGTTCCGCAGGCGCTATGCGGGCAATGCCACAGTAAGTACTAAAGGATTGATCAATGCTTGCGCAGCTTAGAATTGCGTGTCTTCGTGGCTCAGGACACAGAGATACCAGCTGTTCTGAGGTAAGGCTCGGGTTCGGCTCCCATTCACCTCAACATTTTCCTCGGCTGACTTCTCAAAGAAGAATCCGGTACCAAGTTCGGGCGAGCCAATCTTGTCTGCCACGGTGGCTCGGTTGCCGCTACTGGGCACAGTGGGCCGGAAGAGCGGTGGAGGCGGCCAAAACTCTAGACGCGTTTTGAGCTCCAGAGTCGCTAAATGGGACTCAAACCGAACGTGTGACCCCACCAATGGATTCTTCGTTCGGAGGAGCAATCCATCGGTGGGGTCACACGTTCGGTTCGAGTCCTGTTTAGTGACTCTGGGACTCACAACGCGTCTTGAGTTTTGGCCGCCTCCACCGGTCTCCTGGCCCACTGTGCTGGGGAGGGATCTGGGTTCAACTCCCCAAGAAGAACAATTCACGGCGTTCTGGGTGCGTAAATCGTTTACGCCCTTTGAGAGCAGAGTTTTAATGCCTTTGTCTTACCGGTGAGTGCAAAGGTGCTGGCCGCGTCAAAGGTCTTGTGGTTGAGTCCCAACCATGACAGCACTTTTCTCAGTTAACTTCTCAGACCCACACAGTAAAAAAAGATTCGCCGATTCGGTGACGTCTGGGCGCCAAAACGAGAATATTACAAGAACAGCGACACCCTCAAACTGTTCTGGCGGCCCTCTGTTCGTTTCGGCGACGCTCGGTCTAGTTTCGGTGGCGCTCGGTCCGTTCCGGAGCAGCCACCTCACCAGAACAGCACTGCAGTCACCCTCCCGCCAGCGACTTTTAATCGTCGTATTAATGTGAAATAGGACACTAAACAAGTCAGGGGCTGTCAGTAATCATTCGCGTGACTCATCAAAGCGTAACATCGCCGGCGGGTACGCACAAATATGCACAGACAGCTCAAAAACAGTTGTTGTGTTCATCCTAACCTCTCTGGCGGAACACCACCTGGTGACGCAGGTCACCGTTTTGGTGACGGACCGTCGCCGGGTTTGTGGGGGTGCCCGTTTCGGTGAGATTGGATATAGAACGACCACCAAAACAGCGACTCTTTTTTTACTGTGCAGTCGAGGAAACCGGTCAAAAGACTGAATCGAATAGTCCATTTCAATGGACCTTTACTGTCTAAGCTAAAAAGAAGTGTCTGTACTTTCCGTTTCACGCCGGCTTCACGGAGAGCGGTTTTGGGCTGATCTTCAAGCGATGAGGCGAATCCCGAGATAAGCATCAAAGTGCGCGGCGTTCGCGAAGCCCCTCTATTCCGCGGCGGCGCCAGACTCCAGAGCAGAGTGTTTCTGAACTGTGTCGCTCTGTCCCTCTCGCACTCATGGGGAGCACCGTAGGGGTGCGAGAGAGACAGAGCTCCGTTTGGAATCGGTCTGCAGTGGGATGCGCTTCATTTATTCGGGTGTATCAGCACATCCACGACGAAAGAGAATGGGGAATGGGGCGCCAAGGACACAGAGGGCGAGGCCGCCTCGCCCTGCATCGCACAGTGGGCCAGAAGACCGGTGGCGGCGGCCAAAATTCTAGACGCGTTTTGAGCTCCAGAGTCGCTAAACAGGACTCGAATCGAACGTGTGACCCCACCAATGGATTCCTCGTTCGGAGAGCAATCCATTGGTGGGGTCACGTCACACGTTTGGTTCGAGTCCCATTTAGCGACGCTGGAGCTCAAAACGCGTCCGGTATTTTGACCGCCTCCACCGGTCTTCTGGCCGACAGGTGAGAGGTTCAAAAGGGGGCGCGACGCGCATCGGGATCATCGCCGCGTTTCAAGTTCAATCGGTCGCTTGCGAGTCCCGATGGGCCGACGAGTTAGGAGCCGAGCGGAGCTGTAGACTGATTCCGAGAGTCGTTTTCGTCGCTCTGTCTCTCTCGCACCTAAGCGGGACGCCCCGTGAGTGCGAGAGAGACAGAGCGACGAAAACGACTCTCAGTCTGCAGCACTGCACGGGGGCGTGTCGGCACGGGCGTGACGTGCATGACGAGAAAGAGCCGGGCCGGGTCACTGGAGGCGGAACCACTGCGACACTGTAGCACGCTGCAGACTGCAAGACGTTTTCGTCGCTCTGTCTCTCTCGCACTCATGGGGCTCCCCACTTGGGTGCGAGAGAGACAGAGCGACGAAAGCGACTCTCAGCATCACCAGGCCTGCATGCTAACGCCCGCAGAGCAGCGCAGCCTCGGAGACGCTGCAAGACCTGCCACCTGTCGCCTCAGTCAATTCGTCGCTCTGTCTCTCTCGCACTCATGGGGCGTCCCGTGGGAGTGCGAGAGAGACAGAGCGACGAATCGCTGCTTCGGTATCAGGCTGAAGTCTACATGAAAGTGTAGCGGTGGCTCGGAGGGCTAGGCTGTCGCCCGCTGCGAGTAGGATCTGGGTTCGAATCCCAGACACGCGAATCTTTTCATCAGTTCACCACTTGAATCTGGTATCATCAGTGCAAATTTTGGGCAGCGCCTCCCAAGGAAGATAGTGGCTGAGTGGACCAAGGAGTTGTCTGCCACGGGAAGGGCTTGGGTTCGAGTCCCGGTGATGTGACTATTTTTCTGAGTTTGGTTTCCAAACTCTCGGTTCGCTTCTCTAACCCGAAGAGTCGGTTAACCATCAGTCTGAGTTTGAGCGAGGATATAGATAGTGTGATTCGGTGGCTCAGAGCGCAAAGTGAGCGGCCGTCCCGTGAGAAATACCTGGTTCAAATCCCAGATGCGGAAATGTTTTCCTCAGTTGAACCTTGACTCCCGTACCACCAGTATCAATATTGGCGGACACATCGTCAACGTCTCGGTGGCAGAGAGCGCAGAGGAAGTGGCCGCTCCGAGTCAGCACTTGGGTTCGGAACCCGGGTGCGGGAACATTTTTCTCAGTTGACTGCTTGAATGCGGTACCATCACTCTAAGATTAGACCCACCGCTAACATCAGGAGTTTCGGTGGCTCAGTGGGCTGAGGTGTCGGCCGTGGCGAGATAGGAGCTGGGTTCAAAGCCCGGCGGGGTAGGCCTCTTATTTTCCGCCGCAGCGCTGCTTTTGCAGCGTGTCAAATGGGCGGTCTACCTTGACGGTGCTGCTGAGGTAACCCTGGCTATACTAAATAAGCGCCGAGTAGAAGACGCGTCTTCCCTCCCTCCTGTCCGTGCCCCAACCCACGCGTGTCTAATGGGTGGCCTACCTCGGGGGCGCATCTCTCTGTCCTAGCTGACACACGGATGCAAAAGAGTTCCCGCCGTCGGCCCCTCCCCCCCTCCCCCCCCCTCCCCGAAGGAGAGTGGAGTAGGGCAATCATAAAGGGTTAGCAACCTGACCTGGCTGGTAGCGAACCAGGTCCAACGGGAAACATGTGCTGCCGCATGGCCTCCATCCAGCCTCCACGGCCCATCGCTCTGCCACCTGAGCTACGACAACACAGCTGTCTCTCTCGTCCTATCTTAGAGTGATGGTACCGGGTTCGAGAAGTAAACAGAGGAAAAGATTCGCTCACCTGGGAGTCGAACCCAGGACTTCCTCCCACCGGTCAACTCCTCTACCATCTCGGCCACCGAGCCACTGCAGGTGGTCTCGATTAATCTTAGAGTGATTGTACCGGGTTTGAGAAGTAAACAGAGGAAAAGTTTCGCTCACCTGGGAGTCGAACCCAGGACTTCCTCCCGCCGGCCAACTCCTCTACCATCTCGGCCACCGTGCCACTGCGAGAAAATTCGATCAATCTGAGACTGATGGTACTGGGTTTGAGAAGTAAACTGACGAAAAGATTCGCTGACCTGAGAGTTGAACCCAGGACTTTCTCGCACCGGCCAACACCTCAACCATCCCTGCCACCCAGCCACTGCGAGGAATTTCGATCATTCTTAGAGTGACGGTACTAGGTTTAAGAAGTAAACTAAGGAAAAAATTCTCCTACCTGGGAGTCGAATCCAGGACGTCCTCCCACCGGCTGACACCCCAACCAACCATCCCTGACTCCCAGCCACTGTATAACAATCTGATCAATTTTAGAGTGATGGTACCGGGTTTGAGATGTCGACAGTCTGTGGATGAGGAAAATGTTTCTTTCGTTGGAATTCCAACCCAAGTCCTTCTAAGCGCGGTAGACACCTCTGTTCACTCAGCCACCTCGGCATAAACATTGCTCGCGGTTCAAGAGGCCTGCCGTTTGATTTTGGCGCGTCCACACCAGCGCCTTGTAGGAGAGAAAGAGTGCGGAGGGGAGGGGAGGAAGGAGAGGGGGGAGAGGGGAGAGGAAGGAGTAGGGAGGGAGAAGGGGGACTCTCCCACGGCTTTGCGAGTGGACTTGCTTGTTTGTTGACATTTCGTACTGTTTGAAGCCTAAACGCTTGCTTAGTAGTAAAGATGAGGATCATTCTTTACTTTGCGTCCACCATTTTTCTAGCATCTCAATGTACGTATTAACTAATTCTGTACCAACATATCTTGAAGCGATTTGTATTATTGTACGTGTTGCTGATGGGTGTGGCAAAGAACTTTGTTTGTGATTCCAATCAATTTGTTGAATCAACATTAACGTTTCTTTGAGTTGATTGATACATTTGATAAAGACCTTTTATTATTTTGACGATTGTTTGCATTGGAATTATGGAAACGGACACTTGTTTGTTATATATCTAGGTTAGGATCCTGTGTGTTCCACACCCTCTTGCAATGATTCATTGGTACAAACTCGGATCTTTCCAAGCTGTGTTACGTATTTTTCTCACGAGCCTGAGCACTTCTGTAGGCAGTATCTTTAATTTTGGCCTCAGTGTTCCAAATCTCACAAAATTCTTCATGTTGCTGAAATCATAAGTTTGTTCCATGGTCAAAATACATAAACAGATCCGTACATGGGTTTGGGTCAACAGTCCGTAACTTCTGGTTACTCATTGTGAAGGATCTTGATATGTTTGATGTGTTGCAGGTATGGGCCTTGGAATTCTTGGTTTGTACTGCTATCGATGTGTCTCCACTCATCCAGGATGCAGCACTCCGTTTAATTGGCTGTGGTATTGGGGAGAGCAGTGTCCCGAATATGATGACAAATGTGTCAAAATTGTTGAGCGAAAAGGAGGTAAGAATTGACGAGGTCCTCCTAAGACTCCTACAGAAAAATGTTCATGCCTGAATTCATTCTTATTTCGAATCTTAGCTGAAGAAATCATCACACGTGATTGCTTGAGTGTTTTGCGAAGCATACGTACCGACATACCAGCTGACCACTATGAAGGCTGCCGCCCAGCTGCTAAAGATATCAGACTTGGACATTATGTCAATAACTCAATCAAAGAGTTGGACATTCATCAGTAAGTGCTGAATTTTTTTCAACATTATGTGTTTACCTCTGCAAGTATCTTACTTAGTTTTCTTTGTCTCACTATGCATATTCTTTATTTTTCAGCGATCATTATGACAGCACAAATTGGTGTTTCTGCTACTTTGATAATCGCTGTAACAGTGCATCCTCAATCATGCCCTCACTTTTGGCAGTGACCATTCCATTGTTCATGACTTGGCTTTGTTCTCTATGAACTCAAAAATCTTTAAAGACAATAATCAAGGTTGAAATTATGTCATGATTATGTTTTACATCTTTATTTTGATTTCCTTTTAAATGAACTATGTGCCGTCCACGTATTTGTAATAAGTCCCTTTTTTTAGATGATTTTACAAGAAAGTATGAATGTACTGACTTTTGCCAACTTTATATGGCAATTATGTAGTCAAACTACAGTACCCTTTAGGTGCCTTGTAGATTTACCATTAAGTACGATTTATACTTGAGCACAAATAACTTGACTTAATTATTGTGCAGCAAACGCAGTGATCAAAAGTATTTTTATTTGAACAGAAACAAGTTGCCTTTGTATCCTTCTTAGTATTGTGGTTACGGATCAATGTTGTGTAGATGATTGGTGTTTCTGTGATTTTATCTAATCTTGACACAGTTGTACTGTCATGTACCTAAACATAAGGAATTATTTTTGATGCTATTTTTTAACTGGATGTATTATTGTTTTACTGAAACCCTATTTATGATCAGATCCTGTATCTATTTGTGTGATTGAACACTGCAGTAGAGTTGCATTCCATATATTGTGAATCATTTTATGAACTGTTTTGGTATTTTCCTGTTATTGATCTGAATTTTTTAGTATTTATTAGTAAGATTGCTGTCTGTCTGGAAGACATTCCGTCCATATTTTAATTAGTTTTAAGAAATACCCTGTCTGCATATTTTTTTCTACTTTCCTATTGGATTTTAAAATTGTGTTAACAAGTTTTAAGCAGACTCAATTATGTATCTGAAATTGCCATTTGTAGTTAGAAACAAAGTCACTGTTCACAGATCTCTGAATTACTGTGTATGAATGCTGCATGTGTAATTTTACCATCATGGAAATTTAGTAAGAACTGAATATTGAAATAAAAAACCCAAGCAAATTTGAAGATAAATAGTGAGTTTTATCAACAACCCATGCGTGAATCATTAGTCAAAGCACATTTTCTAATCACATGTCAGATGGATGCTAGTACATTCACAAACAATTATAACACAAATCAACCCATACTCGCTAGCATGCTTGTGAGTGATTAGTCAAGACACATGAAAACACACATGATGGATACCTGCTTTCAGAATTCAAAACCAATTGAAAAAAAGACCAATCATTTCTAGAGCAAAATACAAAAATAATGAGTGTGAAAATAGACAACACCATGTGGAGAAAATAACTGAAAAAATCTCACAAACAACTTTTTAAATGAAAAACAAAAAATTGCTTTGTAGTCCTTGCTGGCCCTTTATCAATGAAAATTCTTCATTTTCAAGAAAAGAACAAATTAGAAAAGCATTTAAGAAAATTTTAGAAAACACCTTGGTCAAATCAACATTACACAAACTCAATAGTTTTCAAACAAACTCAGTAATTTTCAAAACCAAACAAACCCTTTAATCATGGGTTAAGATGCAAAGCAAAGGGGTGGAAACAATCCACGTCCGACCATGGCCGCCGGGCTAAAACGAGGCAAATTACAGTTTGGCGGAAATGCTCCTCAGAAATACTTTGACACGCTTTGAAAGAAAGAAAACAACTTTAAGCTTCTGTTGTCTTTTGCGTGCATTTGTATGCATCAGTCGACGGGCGCGAAACGCGAAGCAGAACGAGAGTCGGCCGGCATTTGGCAGCACTAGCACAAGGCACTGGAATCTTGCTTGTCTCAACAAGTTCAAACCTGCTGGTCAAAATGTTTTAGGTAGTGCACTTTCTCCTCTTTCTACGGGGAGAAAGTGGTGGAGGTGACATCAGTACAGCAGCAGAAACAGGGCTACTGGTTATCTCATCCACATCGACCACAGTGGGCAGATTTTCTTTATCTTGAGATGACATTTTGGCTGCACCACGTTTACCTGAGGGTGGGTCAGATCTTGGAAGGAGTCTCTCAATAGTTTTATGCAGTTCAGGATCCTGTTACAAGTAAGTTTACTGTTAGCTGTCATCAACCTCATTGTCAAAAGTAAATTCATGTGTATGCAAGAGCTTTACCTGCAACCACGGGTGGGCAAAAATGTCAGAAAGAGTGATTCGATCACTAACATCCAGAGTCATCATTCTTTTGACAATTTCCATGGCAGGGGTAGACACACATTCCCAATACTTGTGTGGCATAGAGTAGTGGCCTCTTTTTATCAGGTCATCCATAGGTGGCCCATTTTTCTCAGCACTGAACGGTGTCTGTCCAGACAGGCTGAAACAGAAAAGAGTTCAAAGTAAGGAAGTATTGCCTACAGAGTGACAGAAAAGACTTTTTAATATGATAAAGACATAAAGAGCAAACTTACCAAACGTAAAGGATGACACCCATTGACCACACATCTACTTTTCCGGTGTAGACTCTGGTCCCACCACCCTCAAGGACCTCGGGCGCTACGTAAAGCTTGGTACCACACAGACTCCGCAAATTTGTGTTGGAGTGTAATACCTTAGACAGTCCAAAGTCTGTAATTTTTACTACTGTTTCAACGTCATCAGTTGCCATCAAGACATTCTCAGGCTGGTAAAAGAAAAAGTGTACAGGTACAGTCCCTTTCTTTTTCAGTTTTCAAATGGCAGCTGCATGCTCCATGATCAAAGCTCTGTAAAATATACATACCTTTAGATCTCTGTGAATTATTTCATTTTGATGTAGATACTGTACTCCAGATGCAATTTGGTAAAAGTAAAGCTTGGCTTGGCTCTCAGTCAGTCGTTTACTATTTGTGATTCGAGAAAATAAGTCCTTTCCATACATCAGCTCTAGAAATAAATACTTTTCGGATAGGTGAGTTACATGATGAACAAGCTGAATGACATTGGGCTGCAAGAGAACAAACAACAAGTAGAGAACACACAACTTCATTTCAGATCTTTCTCTTCTCTTTACTCATGGTCAACAACTCACTCACATGTTTAATTCTTTGAAGAATTTTAACTTCATTTTCCAGCCGTTCCATTTCAGAGTCTACCTTTTTTTTGCTGGTGTGGTTTCCTTTCAAAATTGATTTCATTGCATACCCCTTGCGAGATTTCTGGAACAAAATCAGATGAGTAAATAAGTGTTCATGGAAGATAGGGCAGAGAAGAAAGTTGTAAAGGTGCAAAGGGATGAGGTGTACCTTGCAAAACATAAGTGTTACTTCACCGTAAGCTCCTGTGCCCAGTTGAATAGCAGCATCGTAATGCCTCCGTATTGAGGGAGGGTGTTTAGAATTGATCACAGAAGCATCCTTAAAATAATACACTGCAAACAAGTAAAAAGTATATAGGCAAATTAAGAACTGCTAATCAGAAAGATAAATTAATTTAAACAACATCATAGACTTGCAACACATGCAACAAAGCTCACCATTGTTGTGAGGTTTGCCCAAAGCAATAATATTATTATCACTCAAAACTTTGGTCTTTCCTTTGCCCACAAGGCTACCATTAATGAATGTCCCGTTCATGCTCATGTCCTTCAATCTTACTTCAGTGCTGCACTTCCCAAACTTCTCTACTTGAACTTTCAAAATAGAGAATTGCCGTCTACTGGCAACAACCCAAACATGACTAGGAACCTCATTGGGTTTGAGGGTGATATCACATGATTTTTGCTTTCCCACAAGGGTCTCGTCTTTCGTTAGGTCTGTAACATGAAAAACCGAGAACATAGAAGTATGAGTTACAAACTGGCAATCGTTGTCAACAGCGCACAAAAGACACATATCCCACACACTGAATAACCGTCAACGAGGCTCCGAGTAGACGTTTCAGGATTGAAACATGGAAGCACATAGCTCAGACTTGGTAACAAAGCACCAAACAACGATAACAAAAAACTTACCATGGGCTTGGACGTTTGGGAGGGCGGGGTATAGACGTCCCCAGTATTGTTCACTGAAGACAATCGTCTCATCCGCGTCCTCCAACAGGCTGGCGTCTAGATTAGAGGGCTGGGTCGCCTGTTGGGAACAATCTTCGAACTCGCCCATTGTAAGAATGTCGCCTCCTTCCACGACACTGCTCAACGCCTAGTGCAATCGGCTATCGTTGACGTTTGACCTGTTTCAAGAACGCGTCTTTTGAGACTTTCTTCACATTTCGTGGAATGGGAACAAACACGAGGACACTTCTCGTCATGGATGCGTCGAAAATACATACCTGATTGAACAAATCGAAGGTGAAACCCATGACACTACACAAACGGTTAAATCTGACAGCCACCAACACGTTAGGACCCGGCCCACTCGACCGCGCTCGACGGCGCGAAATTTGATTCCAAGACAAATGAGCGGCGACCGCAGAGGGGAGACTCGCGTTGCGAGGCTATGCCGGGGGCTATGAGAAATTGTCTCTCACGTACTTGTGCGAGAGATTCGGGGCATTCCCCTCTGCGTTGGAAGGCCCCTCGGGCCATTATCATGACACATTCGAATATCCAACTCAGCCCCAGTGGCGTGCGCAAAGAGGGGGGGGGGTCATGACCGGGGGGTGTGTGTGTCCTTTTGGCCACTAGACAGCCGCCTGGAAGGTAGGCAAATTGCGTCACTTTCCCCCTGTAAGTAGGCAAAAAGCATGGCCTGACCCCCCCTTTCTAAATTTCTGCGCACGCCACTGTAGAGCCCTAAACACAACGAAATGTAAAACGAATCGACACGCAGCGTTCCCACGACAACACGACTCTTACACGCCGCGTCCGCGGAGCCATTGCTATTTGCACGCTGAAAAAGATTTCCCGAATGCATTCAATAAATTACAATAAATAAGCGTGCCGGGATCTTACATTCACGCCACAACACTTCGGAGCGACTACAGAGTTGTGACCTGCGTGCCTCCGGGGCCTGTAGCGCCTGTGAGGTAGGCCACGGGCCCGGACCGCAGCACGCCGGTGTGGAGACGGCGGCCTACGTTGCCCCTGAGGACGACGGGGGCGGGGTGGGCCACCCTCTCCAGACCGGCGTGCTGCGGTACGGGCCCGTGGCCTACCTCACAGGCGCTACAGGCCTTCAAGGCGGAACGCTATAGCTATTACTGGACCGCTGGACCACAAATGATCGTATGCCTTTCAGGCCCGAGCCGGCCACGCCAGTGACACACCAAAACGTGACTGGTCGTCGAGTAAAGTTTATCTCGGCATACCGGGAACACCCACAGAATCGGCCAAGCCAAGATATTGTCTAGTGGGCAGACTGAGGTTGGCAAACCCTTTCAATGCAGGTTAATTGAAGTAATTTTTGCCTATTTACGGGGCAGCCCCAAGGTCATCCTCTTTCCTCAAAGGTGCTGCACTCTAAAAAAAATTGTGGTAGAATTCCTATAAAAGTATCGGACGCATTTAACCTATTCGGTATGGGAATTTTGCCACACAGGACATGGTAGTTTTACCATATGCCGATATGGCAAAAATCCTATACGTGTTGTTAGGTTTCTGCTATATAAGGGTGTGGGAAAACTACTACACCGCGTATGGTAAAAATCCCATACCAAATGTGGGATATTTTCGTCACGTGATGTGGTGAAACTCCTTTACACTCACAGGAATACTTGATTTGAGAAGTAGAGTTCACTTCCCGAGAGAACATGGCGCAAGTGACTTTCATAAAAATTGAGATGACATGCCATCTTAGGTAGAGATATCTTTGTACCCGAGACAGCTGAGTCCTCTCTCCGATCCTAGTTTACAAGGCGGATCTTGCGTGCACCCAACCTAATGGCCGACCTCAGTCGCCAGCGAGTGGTAACATGGACAAGCGTTTTTCTCGACTGTAGTGTAATATTTTGTTGAAAACTGGAAGCCAGCGGCTAGGGCTGACACTTACTTAGGCAACAGATGATATATTTATCAAAAAATATTTACTTTCGTAACATTAATCGGAAAAACTTATTGGTGAACGGGCACGGCGCTCCAAGCGCCACCTAGCGGCAGGTTTGTGCAACCTGACGGCAGGCGGCTGACAGTGGACCATACCCTTACCCACAGCTCACCTTTTACACGGTAACTTAACAATAGACGATGTCAAAATGCTTTGGAGCGCTACGTTTATTTTCAGCTTCATAATATCACTTTAAATTTCGCAAGGATTTAAAACCATTGCTCATCTACATAAGTAGTTCTGAGTTGCCGCGATTTCCAGAGACTAACCCATTTCAAGTTTTACTGAAGAAGTCAAATTAGCTAAAACCATGTGTGATAATGGGGCAGATCAAGATGCAAAATAAGTTTTAACCGGTTTTAACGAATCGTCTAGTGCCAAATTTTTCTATTCAACGGTTTGACGTCACATGAGCCTTTGTTTACTTTTCTCTGAGCAGCTTTGCTGCCTTAGTCATTGTGCCGTTAGCCTGTTATCAATATTGAACGTCTGTTTTGGTCCCCTCTCTCCTGAAAAAATATTTCAGAAATGTTTGGGATTCTTACTAATGGGTTGTAGGAAAAGCAGTATACAATGGCCTGAAGTAATAGGATTTCGACCCAAAAGTGTGGGAAAAAACCGAACACGAGTATAGGAAATCGAATTCCTATACTCGGTTCGGATTTTTACGACACCGCATTGTCAAAAGAACGAAAAGCATAGGAATTTTCCAAATCACATATAGGATTGTCTTTCCCATACCGAAGTTGGTACTTTTACCATACGACGGTGAAGTAGAAATGCCATTATTTTTAGAGTGTGTCACTGGAGGCCTACAAGGCCGAGGCGGATCCAGAGGTGACGGGCAAAGTAGCACTTTTTGCCTCCTTGTAGGGGCTAGGTAGGGATTTTTGTCTACTGACAGGGGCAAAGTACGGATTTTTGCCTACTTACAGGGGCAAAGTACGGATTTTTGCTTACATACAGGGGCAAAGTATGGTTTTTGAATACACATTTCGGGCAGTATGCCCTGCTGGATCCGGCGGAAAGGTGAAGCCAAGATTCTGTCTGGTGGGCAGGCTGAGGTTGGCAACCCTTCCGCAGTGGCGTGCGCAGAAATTTTGAAAGGGAGGGGTCAGGCCATGCCTTTTGCTCACTTACGGGGAAAGTGACTCAATTTGCCTACCCTCCAGGCGGCTGTCTAGTTGCCAAAAAAAGGGGGACACAGTGGGCCAGAAGACCGGTGGAGGCGGCCAAAACTCTAGACGCGTTTTGAGCTCCAGCGTCGCTTCATGGGACTCGAACCGATCGTGTGACCCCACCAATGGATTGCTCTCCGAACGAGGAATCCATTGGTGGGGTCACACGCTCGGTTCGAGTCCCATTAAGTGACTCTGGAGCTCAAAACGCGTCTAGAGTTTTGGTCGCCTCCACCGGTCTTCTGGCCCACTGTGTGTGGTCATGTCCCCCTGACCACCCCCTGCACACGCCACCGCCCTTCCGACACAGGTGCTTCGTCGATTTTCGCCTATTTGGGTGGCAGCCCTGAGGCCATCCGTGCAAACGCACCCAAGGAGAGTAATTGCCATTGCCGGTCCCAGTTAATTGACTTTCGAGTGGGGCCAAAATAACGCCGTCACTTCTCTCTCTATCCACTGTGGCAAAAAGCTACGGAAAATTCTGTAAACAGCTTGTGGTAATTCTCCGTAGGCCCCTTATCAATATTCTCCGTAGGCTCTTACAGTATTTTCTGTAGGACCGCACAGTATTCTCCGTAGGACCGCACAGTGATCTCCGTAGGACTATACAGTCTTCGAGGTCCTACGGAGAAGACTGTGCGGATTTACAGAGAATACTGTGCGGCCCTACGGAGAATACTGTAAGAGCCTACGGAGAATATTGATAAGAGGGCTACGGAGAATCCTGGCAAAAAAATTAACAGGATTTTCCGTACCTTTTTGCCACAGTGTCGGGCCGTGATCGTCGAGGCTGTTGCAAACCTCTGCACGCATTTTAGCAGTTTTTATCACTTTTACCGAACTGCAGTGATAGCGATAACGGGGCGGCGGGTGACGATAAGGACAACAATCGGTGCTCGTTGCTCATCGGACGGAGTGGTCGAAAAAGTAGACGAAAGTCCCCCACCAATGGATTCTTCGTTCGGAGAGGAATCCCCACCAATTGGTGGGGTCACACGTTCGGTTCGAGTCCTATTTAGCGAATCTGGAGCTCTCAACACGTCTAGAATATTGGCCGCCTCCACCGGCTTTCTGGCCCACTGCGCACTGAATGCTTTTGACAAAAATAGGCGTGATGTTTGAACCTCCGTTCGAGTCCCATGTAGCCACTACAAGGCTCAAAACGTGCCCGGGATTTTGACTCCGTTTTGACCGCCTCCACCGGTCTTCTGGCCCAGCGTGCAGGCTGAGGCTGGCAACTCTGCTGCTTCGCGGAAATTTTTGCCTCCTTTGTAGGTTACACTCTTTCCACACTGCTGCTTGGGAAATTTCACCTACTCATGTTTCTCACTGATCGAGGAAAACGGGAACACCGAATGAGGGCGTGGCGTGATCACGAGGATCACGAAAGCACTCACGAGGGGGAAAAAGACGTTGCAGGGTGATCCTTGAGGATTATTTCAGAGCGATTATTATTTTACGTTCTGACGTCCCGAGGGCACAAGTCCACGAGTACTATCAGTCACAAGAGAAATAGCCTTGTCGACGCCCTGCCCTGCCCCGCCCTGCGCGCTGATTCGTTCGAGGGTAACACTGAGCGTCAGTGCAACGAGTCACTTCTTTCGAGTCAGCGGGACGCCTTTAGACGTTTAGCATGGACTGTTCATCGCCCTAACTTGGGTGCGAAAACCCTGCCGACCCAACTAACAAATAAATCATCTTTACTCAAATTTGAATGATAAAGCCTATCTCACCCAAAAGTATGATCCTGACTGTATACATTCTAGATTTTGTGGAATAAAGATTCTTTTTATTATGGTAAAAATTTTCTATATAATGGTGGAGCAGCTGCCTTCATAATATACCATTGAGAATTCACTGTACCTAATAGATATTTTGACGAATTTCGTTTATATTTATGCAGAAGATCCCCACTGGGGATTTGCAGCCTTTCACCGTAAGACATTTACAGTGTAGGGTATAACTTTTCGCCCCTTGAGCCGTTGCTGCGGCGGGGTGTTTCTGTTGCCCCTACTGTTGCAACCTTCCTGTACCTTTTACATAACGGTTTTACGTAACTTGGATTTTCCTTGGTGTATCTAGCAGCCCGGTTCGCGCCCGCGTGAGCCCTTTGCAACGTGACTCACAGGATTTATCAGGACACTACCGGTTTACATAACGACTAATTGATAAAGGCCGGCAGAGAAGAAAGTTCCTTCGTCATGCAACACTCGACAAACGCGCATTTTGTCTACTAGGAACTGAGTAATTTTCTTCTTGCTCAAGTTGATTACCTTTCCTCAAAGGGATGCTGAGCTGCCACGTGGGCAAAAAATCCCACGATGCATCGAAAGGGTGGCCAACCTCGACCTGCCTACTAGGCAGCTTATCGACGCCAGTATGTTGCCAAGTAGGCAACCCTTTCAACACTGCTGCGTCGTAGGAAGTTTTGCCTGATTATGTGGCAGCGCTGCACCGCGCAGTGGAACGAGCGAGAACGAGGTGGTTGATGAATAAGAACCTCCCCCCCCCCCAAATAAAAAGACATTCAATCAAGAGGAAATCACTGTGAATTCGGTGAATTTCGGTGTAAAAATCCAATGATTTTCAGTCGCATTTCGATGAACTTCAGTCAAATTTTGATGAATTCCAGTCACATTTTGATGAATTCCAGTCGAATTTCTATAAACTTTTGTCGAATTAAGATGAATTTCAATTCATTCCAGTGAATTTTACATGTTTGATGAATTCTGGAGTGCAAATTTGGCTGGAGTTATTTTCCCTTGCATTCAATGGTGTTTTGGTGTTTCGTGATTGTTTGTGCCATATGGCGCACTCATGGCGCCCCTATCGAGAGCACCCCTGTCGCAGCGGCCTGCCGGCTTGCCTCGGCTTGCCGCTGTTTGAAGGTTGATAACGAGGGAACAACGCCAATAACGAGTGACTAGCCTCGACCACGGGCGAAACACGTCACACAAAGTAACGTCAGATCGGCGTCCTTCGACACCTCATCGTCGAAAAAGCTGCGTAAATCGCGCTGACGAAGAGACGGTGGCGGATCCAGAGTCAGCCGCTAAACGGGGCGGGGGCAGCACTTTTTGCCTACTAACTGGAGTAGAGTGTTGCTTTTTGCCTACCTTTCAGGAGGCTGTCTGAGAGTGGGGGGAACCTATTGTCCTTTTACCCTTCCTCTGGATCCGCGCGCGAGCAAAGCGATGACGTTTTGGTTCTTTTTTTTTTGGCTCAATTTAATCGTTTTGCCGTGTGACCTTGAACTGTCGGACCAGCGCCATCCCCCGCGCGCACGTGTGCGACAAGCAGCGTTAGTACCGCCCTTAGCACCCTCACGGCACCCTTAGCACAACGCTTAGCACCCTAGGAACACCATTTGTACACCCTTAGCACCCCCAGGGCACCCCTTGCACAACCCTTAACACCATCAGGGAACCCTTAGCACCACCCTTAGCACCCTCAGGGCACGCTTAGTACGACCCTCGCACCTCCAGACCTCCGCTGACGCAGAAAGTGGCCTGAAGGCTGAAGAGGGTGTTTTGACACACTTTTTGCTTCACGTACTATGCAATCTCAACAGTGTACTAGGTACAGTTCAGTGTGTACTCGCAAGTTCACTCCTACGAGAGTGTACTCATGAGTACAAACGAGAGAGCGTACTGTGTTCATTGTTGGGGCTGCACAGTACCTACAGATCGAGAGGACTGTGAATTGGCCACCCATCGGGCGTTTGTTGGGGAGGAAAAAAGGGTCGGGGAAATCATATTAGGAAGATAGGCTGGGCACTCCCAGCCCAGGACGCTCGGATGGATGGATGGATGGATGGATGGATGGATGGATGGATGGATGGATGGATGGATGGATTGGCGGCGGGGACCACCAAGGGGCAGGGAACAGTGTTGCCACAAAATTAGGCAGAAATTCCCTCGATGCACCAGTGTCGAAAGGGTTGCCAACCTCAGCCTGCTCACTGGGCAACTCTTTGACAGCGAGGCCAAGGCGTTGCCCAGTGAGCAGGCTGAGGTTGGCAACCCTTCCGACACCGGTGCATCGTGGGAATTTCTGCCGCTAGAGCACAACGGATTACTCCTCGACGTCCGTCCCGGGAAACGGCGCCAAGGGGAAATCACAGTGAATTTCGGTGTACAAATCCAATGAATTTCAGTCAAATTTAAGTCGAATTTCGATGAATTTCAGTCAAACTTCGGTGAATTTCAGTCGAGTTTCGATGAACTTCAGTCAAATTTCGACGAAATTCAATGAATTTCAGTGAATTTTACATGTTTGATGAATTTTGGTGTACAAATTAGGCTGGAGTTATTTCCCCTAGAACGGCGCAACACTGAAAACCTACGTGTGTACTCACGTCAGTACACACTTAAACCTCCTATGTTTGTACTCACTTTAAGTTCTCAATGAAGCGCCGAAACCACAAACCGCGCCCTCTCGAATGCAATCAGCAGACTGTTTCCGAGAGTCGTTTTGGTCGCTCTGTCTCTCTCGCAGCTATATGGGACGCCCCATGAGTGCGGGAGAGACAGGTAGGGTTCTAAGAGCCGAAAAAAAAAACATGAAAAAAACGGAAAAAAACTGTTTTTTTCGGCTTTTTATTTTAGCAATTTTTCCGGAAAAATATGTTTTTTTCCTAATTTTGGTACTTTTTGGTGTTGTTTTGCTATTTGTGCTTATTTGACATGCTGGCAAGCTTAGTTAGGTCAATATCAACACCCAGGTATGACAATAAAAATAAAAAACGTGAGCTTCGTTTTTTTGCCACCTAACGCGCCACTACGCTCCCCCTTAGCTTCGCGCCACCCGTTTAAACGACATTTCAGGCCCAAAAATAACTTTCCGTTTTTTTCGAAAAAAAAAAACCGTTTTTTTTCATGGTTTGTTATCCAAATGTTATTTTTCACGCTTTTTTAGAACCCTAGAGACAGGGCGACGGAGACGTTTCTCGGAGGCAATCGGGTGGGCAGCGACGACATTGTGCTACACTAGAGTGGAGCCATACGTCACGTGGAGACGACTCACCACTGTAAGGACTCAAAATCGGTAATCCGTGGATGATGTGTGAGTAAGCTGCCCGCGCAAACCGTGCTGCCCATAGTCGAGGCGTGTGGAAAGCGGGGCGGGGCGTAGCGGGGCGGGGCGGGGCGGGGCGAGGTGGGGCGGGGCGGAAGGTGAGACAACGCAGGACACCGGGCGGATGCGATATTGGCCTGGGAGGCGCGAGGAGCGAACGAGCATTCGCGTCGCGTTCGCGTCCCAGACCTGTCCCAGACCACTCCGCGACAACATGTGCCGACTGCCGCTCCTCGCCGCTTTGGCGGTGGCCGTCGCCGTCCTGGGCGTCCCCGAGGCCGCCGCCCAGACGGTCGTGTGTCCGAGCCCGCCAACGCAGGCCAACTTCGACGCGGACAAGGTATGGGGCACTCTGCTCCGCGTTGCGCAGTGGATTTGCCAGAAGACCGGCGCCGGCGGTCAAACCTCTAGGCGCGTTTTGAGCTCCAGAGTGGGGTTACACGTTCAGTTCGAGTTCTGTTGTTAAGCGACTCTGGAGCTCAAAACGGGTCCGGGATTTTGACCGCCTGTACCCACCCAAAATCGAAAGGCGGTACACATGGTCTTACGAAGGCGGTATTTGTTTTACCGCCTTTCCAAGTGTGGTACAAAAATTAACGCCCATTAAATGCGGTAAATTTACCACCTTTGCGGAAGGTTACAAAAATGTGGAAGGTGGTACTTTACCGCATTCGATGGGCGGTAATTTTTGTGTCACACTTGGAAAGGCGGTAAATCAAATACCGCCCTCAAAAGTGGTAATTTTACCACCCTTGAGTTTTGGGTGCCGGTTTTCTGTTCGTATCAAAGAAAATTGTGACTGGTAACGAAATTTTGTATCGGAGGTCGTTTTAAGGGCAAAAACTGAACTGCAAGTGTATGCTGTATAGAGCAGCAGGTAGCATTAATTCCCCCCCCCCCCCGGCAAAAGAACTACAACTTAAACTGTTAGAAATTTAAAACGAAACCAATAAAACAGACCATTTATTTTTTGGTTTCACGGAATCTTATCTAGTTGGAGCGCTTGCTTTATGAGTAAACAAGATTCCGGTAGGCTCAGGGCAGGTGTGACTGTGACTCAGTGGCGCTGGGTTGGGGAGTTCGTGCCGAGAAAACTTGGGTCTGAAAATCCATTACTCTCGACGGCATATGCGGTCCGCCTCCGCCGGTCACTGACATGACACTCCTCGCCATACTCCAGCGCCACATAAGCAGGCAAAGATTCCCACGATGCGACAGTGTCGGAAGGGCTGCCAAACTCAGCCTGCCTACCAGGCAACTTCTCGACAGCGAAGCCAAAATATGGCCTGCTCGGCAGGCGCTGACGTTGGCAACCCTTTTGACACTGGTGCATCGTGGGGAGTTTTTCCTATTTATGAGGCATTCGGGAGTTGAAAGGGTCGCGTGCGTCTTAGGGGCGATAGACGAGCATGGTAGTGCTGTGCAGCTGGAGCTCACGATGGTGACCAACATGGTGACCAACATGGTGAACTACATGGTCACCAACATGGTCACCAACATGTTGACCGACATGGTGACCGACATGGTGACCGACATGGTGACCAACATACTGACCGACATGGTGGCCAACATGGTGACCAACATGGTGACCAACATGGTCACCGTTATGGTCACCAACAGTGAAAAACATGGTGACCGGCGACAAACATGCTGACAGACATGGTGACCAACATACTGACCGACATGGTGACCAACATGCTGACCAGCATGGTGACACACATGGTGACACACATGGTGACACGCATGGTGACCCACATGGTGACCAACATGGTGACCAACATAACATGGTTGTCCGTTCCAGTACCTGGGCGCCTGGTACGAGATGAAGAGGGTGCCCCGTAACTTCGAGGACGACGGCGAGTGCGGCATGGCGACGTACTCCTGGCTCGACGCGACCGCCAAGACCGCCGTCAACGTCCTCAACACCAACTACGTGCCCAAGTAAGTAACAAACTAAACGAAGCGAACTTGCATTCACTGACCCTGCACTCCCTGCTCAACTCCCTCGCCTTCCAGGACTATGTCGGTGAGCTCGGTCACCCTCCAGGCCCAGCCCGTCGACCTCCCTAACGGCAAACTCAATGTGGTTTTCCCCAATCTTCAAGGTAAGTTACACTGACCGGCGAGGGCGGTCAAAATACCGGACGCGTTTCGAGCTCCAGAGTCGCTTCATGGGACTCGAACCGAACGTGTGACCCCACTAATGGATTGCTCTCCCAACGAGGAATCCACTCTGGAGCTCAAAACGCGTCTAGAGTTTTGGCCGCCGGCGCCGGTCTTCTGGCCCACTGTGCGTTGACGCGTTGGTACGACTGAGACCAACACTTACACATACTTGCAGTGGTTCCAGTATTGGGCAAAACGCTCGTCCTCACGATACGTTCCTGTCCCTTGCAGTTCCTGCGTCCCCATACTGGGTGCTGGGCACCGACTACACCAACTACGCCGTGGTGTACTCGTGCTCGGTCGACAAGGCCGTCATCGTCCCTCACAGTAAGTCCTAGCGCGCACACACACACACGCACACACACACACACACACACAAATTACGTAATTTTAAAATTGTGGAAGTCAAGATCAGATGCCTTAAAGTGGGCCTTGCCTTGGTTGCAGTCACTCTGTGGGTCCTCGCCAGAGACCCGGCCAAGTACACCTCGGACGTCGACGCCACGGTGAACGCCCTCATCAAGAACGCCGGCCTGGACGCCAGCATCCTCAAGACGGTGGAGCACCACACGGGCTGCCCCGCGGCCACCTGCAAGCCGTGCGCGTCGCCCAAGGCGAGCCTGGACCTCGCCAAGGTACGCACGGCACTGCACGGTGGGCCAGAAGACCGGGGGAGGCGGCCAAAACTCTGGACGCGTTTTGAGCTCCAGAGTCGCTGAACAGGGCTCGAACCGAACGTGTGACCCCACCAATGGATTCCCCGTTCTGAGAGCAACCCATTGGTGGGGTCACACGTTCGGTTCGAGTCCCATTTAGCCAGTCTGGAGCTCTAAACACGTCTAGAGTTTTGGCCGCCTCCACCGTTCTTCTGAACCACTGTATACTTTTTACACACACATAACAAAACCCGCGGTGTTTGAACCTCCGTTTTCACTCCAGCTCAAAGGCCGCTGGGCGGAGGTGCAGCACAGCCCCTTCGCGACGGACTCCGACAAGCAGACCTGCAGCCTGGGCGAGTTCACCGCCACCACCGACGGCGTCAGGTTCAACGCCACCACGTACCAAGCCGTTAGGTAAGGGTCCGCGGCCGGCGCGCACACTGGGCCAGAAGACCGCCGTCAGCGGCCAAAGCTCTAGACGCGTTTTGAGCTCCAGAGTCGCTAAATGGGACCCGAACCGAACGAGTGATCCCATCAATGGATTGCTCTCCGAACGAGGAATCCATTGGTGGGGTGACACGTACAGTTCGAGTCCTGCTTAGTGACTCTGGAGCTCAAAACGCGTATAGAATTTTAGCCGCCTCCCCGGGGACTCGACAGGTGCGGATCCAGAGTGAGTAGTGTAGGGGGAGGAGTGCTGTTAACCCTGAGGCATAGTCGCCTGTGCGGCAGGCAACAAGCACTGCCTTCCCCCCTTCTCGGGAAAATCCTGGATCCGCGCCTGCGGCGCGGCGACAGTTTCCATAATTGTGCGACCGCATCGCTATCGCTGCATCGGGAAAAGAAGACAGCCTTGGCGCTAGTTTAATGTTCCCGTCCGCCCCGCCGCGGCTTGGCTGGGCTTGGTGACGGGGTCCCCGCCGCACAGTGGGCCAGAAGACCGGTGGAGGCGGCCATAACTCTAGACGCGTTTTGAGCTCCAGAGTCGCGAAACAGGACTCGTACCGAACGTGTGATCCCACCAATGAATTGGTCTCCGAACGAGGAATCCATGGGGTCACACGTTCGGTTCGAGTCCTGTTTAGCGACTCTGGAGCTCAAAACGCATCTAGAGTTTAGTCCGCCTCCACCGGTCTTCTGGCCCACTGTGCGCCGGTCTCCGCGGCCATCGGACTAATGATTGGTTTTCTTACACAGCGAGACGGCCGGCGCCGAGAGGACACTGGAGCTGATCGGCAAGTGGACGGACTCCACCAAGAAAGACGGCTCCTTCGAGGTCACCTCTGCTGCCGGTAAGGCCCTTCGCATGCTTCGCATCGCACAGTGGGCCAGAAGGCCGGTGGAGGCGGTCAAAACCCCAGACGCGTTTTTTGAGCTCCAGAATCGCTTAGTAGGACTCGAACCGAACGTGTGACCCCACCAATGGAATCCTCGTTCAGAGAGCAATCCGTTGATGGGGTCACACGTTCGGTTCGAGTACCATTTAGCGAATCTGAAGCTGAAAACGCGTTTAGAATTTTTGCCGTCTACACCGGTTCTCTGGCCCACTGTGCAATTCTTCGGACACTGGTGCATCGTGGGAGTTTTCGCCTGCGCTGCCGGCTAGATAGCCGCCCCGCCTGGGAGTCGTAGGATGGGCTGCCTACCCTCCTGGCGCGCTGTCAGCCCGACTGGCCTCGCTTGAGGCCTCGCACGCCCTACGCCTTTTCGGCGGGGATTTTGAATAATCTCAATTTGCGAACTACTCTTTTTTATAGAGCAGCCGCCCAGCGAGGGCGCGAGCTTCGGGCCTGGCGGCTCCCAGTCATGAAAGAACAAAGACAGTGCTGTCAAAGATTAGTGTTGAAAGGGTTGACAACCTCAGCCTGTTGGGCAACTTCGGCAACTTCTCAACAGCGAAGCCAAGATATTGCCTAGTAGGCAGGCTGGGGTTGTCAACCCTTTCGACACGGGCGCATCGCGCGGAAAACTTCGCCTATTTATGTGCCGGCAGACTGATTCCGAGAGTCGTTTTCGTCGCTCTGACTCTCTCGCACCAACACGGCACGCCCCGTGAGTGCGAGAGAGACAGAGCGACGAGAACGACTCTCGGAATCAGTCTGCAGCACTGGGGCAAGACCAGCAAAAGTGCTCCCACTTCGTCCCTGTGTCTGCCTTCAGGTTGCCTGCGCATAACACTCTCATCCCAGGTCTAAAAATCTCGTATGATCATACGGGATTTGAAAATTCGTTAAGGGATTCCCGTACTACCATACGAGATCCCGAGCCATACAGGATCCTGAGCTGGACGGGATCCCGTGAGGACACACGGGATCCTTTAACGAATTTTCAAAATCCCGTATGCTGGGACAGGATCCTGTACGCTAGGACGGGATCTCGTATGCCAGGAAGGATTCCTTTACCCACTAAAAGGATCCTTTAAAGTACATATAAAGACGTGAAAATGCAAGTTCTTCTCCAGATAGAATCAAAAGATTGAATGATCTAGGAGGTCGGAACCGAGATCTATCCAAATCTGCAGTCAAAATTTGGATAACTCCAGCGGTTCTCGAGATAGCAGAAAAAAGTTGTTAGATTTCAATAAATTTCAAATGGCACTGGTGAATTTTAGCGAATATACCCCATACAAAATTTGAGCTTAAAATGTTAAAAACTTTCCGAGTTACAGCATACCTAAATTTGAAATCCCGTGCGTACTTCCCGGGATCTCGGCCGCATAGGGGATCCCGCAAGACCATCAGGGATCCCGCGTGGCTCTTCCGGGATCTCGGCAGCGTGCGGGATCCCGTACGACCCTCTCGGGATCCCGGCTATATAAGAGATCCCTTATGACACTCTCGGGATCTTGTGTGACCTTTACCGGATCCCGTAAGGTCTTTAGGGATCCTGTGCGGCCCTCCCGGGATCTCGAGTGTCCTTAAGGGATCCCGCAAAACCATACGAGATCTCGTAAAACTAGACAGGATCCTGCAAAATGATACAGGATCCCGTAAACCACACAAGATTTTTAGACCTGGGATTCCAGGAACGTGACATCACGTTGAAACGAACGTGACAAAATGTCACGTTCGTTTGAACATTGTTTCACGTTCGTTTGAATATGAACAAACTGATTTTTGGCCAATTCACACCCAAACGAATTTGACACAATGCTCAAACGAACGTGACAGTCTTTGTCACGCTCATTTCGACGTGATGTCACGTTCCTGGAATGAGAGTGAAGGCTGAGCGTTACACAGCCTGGCGAGGAGGAAACTCGCACTGGGGGGGTTTTGAGGGTCGCTGAGCACGATGGCACTGAGCATTTTCTGCTCTGATTAATAATTTCAAGTCAATCGAATCTCCAGTTAATTTAAGTCTAGGTTGTCTTCTTGCTTGCGTTGATAGATGTTTTACGTTCGCGGTGGCAACTGTTTATAAAAGACGATCGATCACTGGATAAACTACACGTTCAGTTATTGGCCAGCGTCATGAAAGTGACTCACCCTGAACATCCCAATGGTGCATTACGTTAAATGTTCAGATACATGCTTGACGTACGTCCGATGAACGAGGAACCGCTTCTGAGACAACCGATGTGCTTTTGATGCAGGCACTGGCAAGATGTGCGTGCTCGGCACCGACTACGACAACTGGGCCGTGGTGTCCGTGTGCATCCCGCCCACCCCCACCACCACCGCCGCCCCCGTCGGACCCTTCGCCACGCCCTCGCCGGCCACCTCAGGTACGTCCAAACAACGTCCATACGGCCAGAAGACGGGTGGAAGCGGCCAAAACTCTAGACGCGTTTTGAGCTCCGGAGTCGCTAAACAGGACTCGAACCGAACGTGTGGTGACCCCACCAATGGATTGCTCTCCGAACGAGGAATCTATTGGTGGGGTCACACGTTCGGTTCGAGTCCCGTTTAGCGACTCTGGAGCTCAAAACGCGTCTAGAGTTTTGGCCGCCTCCACCGGTGTTCTGGCCCACTGTGCGGCGACACCCTGGCGACACCGTGGTGACACCCTGTCCTCCTTTGCAGGCGGCGTCTTCGTGATGTCCAGGAAGCGCGGCCTCACCCCGGCCCAGCAGATGGAGGCCAACAAGTACGTGGTCAACGCCGGCGTCCCCGCCGCCTCCATGCAGACCACGCCGGCCACGCCCTGCCCCGCGGTCGCGCTGGAGGGCAACGTCGTCAGCAGCGCCGCCGGCGCCTCCGTGACGCCCGCCATCCTGGTCGCGTCCCTCCTGGCCGCCGTCCTGGGACACCTCCGGCCAGCTCAGTAGCAAGCAATAAATTACTTTAAAAGAAAACCCCGATGTACTGCATTGCTCCCGCGGTCCCCTTTTGGCGTCACTTTTAACCAAGGGGAAATAACTCCAGCCTAATTTGTAAACCAAAATTCATCAAACATGTAAAATTCACTGAAATTCATTGAATTTCGTCGAAATTTGACTGAAGTTCGTCGAAATTCGACTGAAATTCACCGAATTTTGACTGAAATTCATCGAAATTCGACTGATATTTGACTGAAATTCATTGGATTTGTACACCGAAATTCACAGTGACTTCCCCTTGACTTCAACAGTGTACATACATATCACGTTTCCTGCAGAAGGAGGATATGTACAGTAAACCCGGTGCTCACCGCAAAACTAACTTTACTGGTGTAGGTGATCGTCATCTCTTTTCACACACATAGTATCACACACATTACTGTACGTAAGAAGTCGTGAGTTCTGCCAAGTGATCAGCAGAAGAAACGTTTCGTTGTTCTGTCTCTGTCGCACTCGTGGGCCTCTCCATATGGGGGCGACGGAGGTCGAGGGGGTAACCACTCGCGTAATACCCTGTACACAAAAACCGTGTATTACGCGTAATACACGTGGTCGTAATACCTTTTTCGGGTCAAATGTGCCAAATTTTTGCATTTTAAGGCCGTAATACACGTGTAATACCTCCGTAATACAGCGTAATACCGAGTAGTCTGTACACGATTTCTTGAAGTGTTTACCCCCTCGACGGAGGTACAGAGCGAGAAACCACTCTTTTGAATCGCTCGGCTGGTGCACCGGTAAAACCGGTAAAACCAAGGGTAAAACAAAGGCATAGAAATGATGACATGGCAGGGCATCACGATCTTTGCCCCGGGACAGCCGTGAATCGTTTGATGCCCTTGGAACGCGCGTAAATAGTGCAGGACTTCTAGACAAAATCTTCATGCCCTTACAGGGCGCGAGAAAGACTGTTATGCCCTGAAGGGCGTAGTTTGCATGCTTTTGTTTTACCAGTGTGGGTACCCGACCTCGGCGATCCTTCTGGATTGTCCCTGCCCACCCCAAACAACGCCTCGCTCGACATGGGGCGCGGGGCTCGGGGCATTCCCCAGTGCGCTTCCGCGAGCACACCGAGCATCCCAGTGTTGCCACAATAAACGAAAATTCCCACAGTGTGCCAGTGTCGGAAGGGTTGGCAACCTCAGCCGAGGCTACTTTTCAAGGGCAAAGCCTAAAGCCTAGGCAGGCTGAGGTTTGACACTGGTGCACAGTGGGCCAGAAGACCGGTGGAGGTGGTCAAAACCCTGGACGCGTTTTGAGCTCCAGAGTCGCTAAATGGGACTCGAACCGACCGTGTGACCCCCACCAATGGATTCCTCGTTCAGAGAGCAATCCATTGGTGGGGTCACACGTTCGGTTCGAGTCCCCTGTAGCGACTCTGGAGCACTCTGGAGCTCAAAACGCGTACGGAATTCCGACCGCCTCCACCGGTCTTCCGGCCCACTGTGCGGTGGGTGCATCGAGGGAATTTTCGTCCACTTACGTGGCAACACTGGAAACCGAGGCTGCGTCCGGAGCGGCGACGGTGGCGCCGACCGCCGCCGACCTCCTCGACGACGACGCAGTGCAGCGAGTGCAGCGCGGTGGCGTTCCGGACGCCACCCTGCCGCTGGATTACCTGGCCGCCGTGCCGGGCACCGCGGCGCAGGCGCAGCGCATCAGTGTTGCCAGCCTAGCGGAAAATCCGCTAGTTTTGGCGGATTTCGGAGGCGTCTAGCGGAAAAATTTGGCTGTTAGCGGATCTAGCGGGAGAAATTTCTGTCTAGCGGATTCAGAAATTCGTCAGAAATTGAGGGAAATCGGGGCATTTATGGTGATTCGGTCTACTCCTGAGCCGTCCCCGCCGGGGGTGCAGGTCAGGACAAGTGCAAGTGAACCTCCGAATCCTGCGTCCGGCCTTCCGCCACGCTCCGCGGAGACGTCCGGGGAAGGGGGGGAGGGGGTATGGTGCGGGAAGGACGGGAAGCTACCCCCACCCTCGAATCTAGCGGAACAGCAGCGCGATCTGGCGGATTTCGGCCCGAAGCCTAGCGGAGGCGGCTGGCGGGGGCTGGCAACACTGCAGCGCATTCGGTTCAGTCGGCTGGCGAGCACTGGCGAGGCGAGGCGTCGAGAGTGAGGACTTCGTGTGCTGCTGCTGTAGCGTCCGGCGAGGCCGGCCAGCCTGGTGTGCCCCGCACCGAGCGCCTCCAGGACCTCCTGGACCCACACCACCCGATCAACGCCCTGATCATGGCTACAGGTGAGTGGCGCACAGTGGGCCAGAAGACCGGTGGAGGCGGACAAAACTCTAGACGCGTTTAGAGCTCCAGAGTCGCTAAAGGGGACTCGAACCGAACGTGTGACCCCACCAACACTCTACCAAAAATGTCCTGTAAATGCCGTTAATTTATTACCAGTTTTTACTGTAGGTCAATTCACAGCGTTTACTGTGATCTGCTCACGGGATTCACTGTGATCTTGTTCACGGTGTTCACTGTGATCTGGTTCCCAGTAAACACTGTGAGTTTGACGCCGCTGAGCACCGAAGTACTGCCAATCAGGCTCCAATTCACGGCGTTTGCTGTGGCCAGATCACAGTGAACACTGTGACCGAGATCACAGTGAACGCCGTGAACTAGTTCACAGCAAACGCCGTGAATTGCATAACAGCAAACATTGGTAATAAATTAACGGTGTTGACAGGACATTTTTTGTAGAGTGAATGGATTGCTCTCCTAACGAGGAATCCATTGGTGGGGTCACACGTTCCGTTCGAGTCTCATTTAGCGACTCTGGAGCTCAAAACGCGTCTAGAGTTTTGGCCGCCTCCACCGGTCTTCTGGCCCACTGTGTGTCGGTTCGGTTCGGTTCGGTTCGGGCGATCCATTTGCGTCCGGCCAGCCTGCAGACTGATTCCGAGAGTCGTTGTCGGCGCTCTGTCTCTGTCGCACTCATGGGGCGTCCCGTACAGGTGCGAGGGAGACACAGCGACGAAAACGTCTCTCGGACATGCTGCAGCTTGCCGCCGGTGGACTGATTCCGAGGGACGGTTTCGTCGCTCTGTCTCTCTCGCACCTGCACGGGACGCCCCATGGGTGCGAGAGAGACAGAGCGACGAAAACAACTTTCGTCATCAGTGTTCTGGACAACGTGCAAGCGTGCGTGCGTCCACGAGTAAGCCCTAATCTCGTGGGTCAACCGTTTGAACCGCCGCCTAGCGAAAGTACACTGGGGAAAGGCTGACGATTTACCACACCGAATGAAGTACTTTTTGTCGGTGTGCGCTGGCGGGGCTGCACTGACTTGGCGAAAGTGCGCGACTCGACACGATTCGGGGCGTTTGAGTGACGAGTGGACCGCCGTGTTTGGCCATCTGTTTGCTCGATGCTCGAAGCAACGCGTGCACAGTGCACCCACCGAGAACCCTCGCGAAATGCACCGAGCGGTCGAAATCGAGTCGCAGACTTTCCCAAAAGCAAACGCGGACGTGGGCAGCCGCGCGCCTCGAGAAGTATTCTTTTTACAGTATGTCTGTCACGCATCGCACAGTGGGCCAGAAGACCGGTGGAGGCGGCCAAAATTCTAAACGCGTTATGAGCTCCAGAGTCGCTAAACAGGACTCAAACCGAACGCGTGACCCCACCAATGGATTGCTCTCCGAACGAGGAATCTATTGGTGGGGTCACACGTTCGGTTCGAGTCCCGTTTGGTGACTCCGGAGCTCAAAAGGCGTCTACAATTTCGGCCGCCTCCGCCGGTCTTCTGGCCCACGGTGCATTGTTTCCTGAGACAGAGGGGTCGAGGCGTCGGGCCAGGAAAACAGCTGACCTGCAGCCCTGCGGGTGTGTCCGCGCCGACCAATCGGAGGGCTGGGTGGGGTGCGTGGGGTGGGGTGGGGGTGGGGGGAGGGGGGCATTCCTGCCCTTCCAGCGTGCACTCCATGAACGCAGCGTACGCACTCGGCGTTGCCTGGCGTTGCCGCGCAACGGTTTGTGTACACTCCAAACCGAAACTCCTACACAATCCGCCCCGCCCTGCCCACACCTCACGTCAATGCGCTTATCTACACGTCTGCATTGCCCCATTCCCGACGACGTGCGGCCTCTTCATCGCAGTTTTATCTGAAATATTATTATTCCCTTTGTTTTTAAGAGCTTGTCTCGAATCCGAAGGTGAACGAACGAACGCCGTCGTAATCTAGCGAGCGACCACGATGCACAGTGGGCCAGAGGACCGGTGGAGGCGGCCAAACTCTAGACGCGTTTAGAGATCCAGAGTCGTTGAACAAGACTCGAACCGAGCGTGTGACCCCACCAACAGATTCCTCGTTCGGAGAGCAATCCATTGGTGGGTTCACACGTTCGGTTCGAGTCACATGTAGCGACTCTGGAGCTTAAAACGCGTCCAGAGTTTTGTCCAACTCCATCGGTCTTCTGGACCACTGTGCACGCCGTGCGCGGGTCCCCGCGAAGACCGTTTAGGCCGTGAAGGCGGTTCAACGTGCGCGCGCGGCGCACTGCACTGCAGACTGATTCCGAAAGTCGTCTTCGTCGCTGTCTCTCTCGCACCTGTACGGGTCGCCTCATGAGTGCGGGAGAGGCAGAGCGACGAAAACGACTCTCGAAATCGGCCTGCGGGGCGGTGGACGATACCGGTCCCAAAATAACGTGACCGTCGATGTCACCTGGGGGTCCTCCAGCCATCCAGTGGCGTGGCGATGGAGAGTGCGTTGACCTTCAGACTGATTCCGAGAGTCGTTTTCGTCGCTCTGTCTCTCTCGCACTCACGGGGTGTCCCGTGTAGGTGCGAGAGAGACAGAGCGACGAAAACGTCGGAAACGACTCTGTTTGTTGAGCCCCAGCGGCACTCGCCGACGGGGACGCGAGGTGCTGACGACACCCGGTTCATTTCGTCGCTCTGTCTCTCTCGCACCTCTGCGGGACGCCCCATGAGTGCGAGCGAGACGGAGCGATCCCCCGGGCCGCTGCACAGTGGGCCAGAAGACCGGTGGAGGCGGCCAAAACTCTAGACGCGTTTTGAGCTCCAGAGTCGCTAAATGGGACTCGAACCGAACGTGTGACCCCACCAATGGATTGCTCTCCGAACGAGGAATACATTGGTGGGGTCACACGTTCGGTTCGAGTCCTGCTTAGTGACTCTAGACCTCAAAACGCGTCCAGAGTTTTGGTCGCCTCCACCGGTCTTCTGGCCCACTGTGCGTTGTGCCTCGCGGGGCCTCGCGGTGTCGACCTCCCCGACGGACGCCCAAAGGCAGCTAAAGTCTTGCCGGTCCAAACGTCCAGTTTTGATAACCGACACGTGCCCCAAGGCCCCAGCAGACTGTCGCTCTGTCTCTCTCGCACCTTTACGGGACGCCCCACGAGTGCGAGAGAGACAGGCCGACGAGAGCGGTGCTCGGAATCAGTCTGCAGTGCGAGACCCCGACCCAGAGACGGTCGCCGCGTCAAAATAGAATATCGCGTTTACAGAGAAAATAAGCGAAAGCAAACGGGGGTCACGTGTGGGCGTGTTGACTCGCAAGCCTTTCTCTCTAAACACGGCCGGAGGGTAGGTTAGGCGGCTCGTCTGGCCTGGCTGTGTTTTGAGTGGCGAGGCGATAGCGCTATGGAAGCCGGGCCACAGTGGGCCAGAAGAGCGGCGCCGGCGGCCGAAACTCTGGACGCGTTTCGAGCTCCAGGGTCGCTAAATGGGACTCGAACCGAACGTGTGACCCCACCAATGGATTCCTCGTTCGGAGAGCAATCCATTGGAGGGGTCACACGTTCGGTTCGAGTCCCTGGCGACTCTGGAGCTCAAACCCCGTCTGGTGTTTTGGCCGCCTCCATCCGGTCAGCTGGGACTTCCCTCTGTCTCTGCGTCGCACCCGCGGGGCGTTCCCTAGGAGTGCGATAGAGACAGCGACGACGCGACCCTTCGGAGAGGCTAGGCTGGGACTTCCACCGGGGAAGGCCGTGCTAATGTCATCCGTGGAAGCGCAAGGAAGTCGGACCGCTACACGATGACGGGCAATTTCGATGAACTTCCCGAATGGATTCCAATAGGCGATGCGCTGGATGACCCGAGACCCGAGGGGCTCTTCGGGTCGCACAGTGGGCCAGAAGACCGGTGAAGGCGGACAAAACTCTAGACGCGTTTCGAGCTCCCTAGTCGCGAAACAGGCCTCGAACCGAACGTGTGACCCCACCAATGGATTCCTCGTTAGGAGAGCAATCCATTGGTGGGGTCACACGTTCGGTTCGAGTCCCATTTAGCGACTCTGGAGCTCAAAACGCGTCTGGAGTTTTGCCCGCCCCCACCGGTCTTCTGGCACACTGTGGGTCGGCCGCGTGTCACTCCGGGTCGCTGACGCTGCCGCCCCGTCTGGGGCGCAACAGGGGCCACTATCTCCTTCTCTCTCTTGTGACGTCACGGGCCGCGCCGGCCAATGGGAAGGCGGCTCGGGAGCGAGCCCCCAAAGGGGAGGGGCGGCAGACGAGACACTGGCGGCAGACTGATTCCGGAGTGTCGCTTCGTCGCTCTCTCTCGCACTCGTGGGGCGTCCCGCGGGGGTGCGAGAGAGACAGCGCCGAAACGACTGTTCGGAACGGCGCGGCCGGGTGACACTTTAAAAGCGAGGGGCCGGAACGCCGGCGACCAGTTGCCCCGCACGCCGTGTGCCCCGACTGACGCTCACCGCTCGCTATACACTGCAGTTGCACCACAACAGACTTGCCGCGACGACGCACTGACGTCAAGGTACGCGGCGCGACGCGGCGTAGTGGATTTGCCAGAGGACCGGTGGAGGCGGCCAAAACTCTGGACGCGTTTTGAGCTCCAGAGTCGCTAAATGGGACTCGAACCGGACGTGTGACCCCACCAATGGATTGCTCTCCGAACGAGGAGTCCATTGGTGAGGCCACACGCGCTGTTTGAGTCCTGATTAGCGACTCTAGAGCTCAAAACGCGTCTAGAGTTTTGGCCGCCTCCTGCGCGGAGGTTCGTCGCTGGTGAACGTCGAGCCCTACACTGTGGGCACGAGTCCTGTGGTACTCTAGTCGCCGAGACTGACCTGCCCTTGTCCTTTGCAGCGATGGAGACACAAGGTCCGCACATCTCCGACCTGCCCGTCGACGCCCTGCTGGAGGTGTTCTGCCGACTGCCGGCGGCCGACCTCACCCTGGGGGCCAGCGGCGTCTGCCGGGCCTGGCGGGACCTGGCCATGGAGCCGGCGGCGTGGCAGGCGAGGCGCGTGCAGGTAAGTCGCGGGTTCGATCCCAGCCAACCCCCTCTAGTTTTTTGTTTTTCCCTGTCTGATTCTGAGCACCGCACAGTGGGCCAGAAGACCGGTGGAGGCGGCCAAAACTCTGGACGCGTTTTGAGCTCGAGAGTGGCTAAGGAGGACCCGAACCGAACGTGTGACCCCACCAATGGATTCCTCGTTCGGAGAGCAATCCATTGGTGGGGTCACACGTTCGTTTCGAGTCCCATTTAGCGACTCTGGAGCTCACCGCGCTGTCTCCCTCCCACCCATGGGGCGTGCAAGACAGAAAGTGACAAGCAGTGCTGGTGGAACCAGCCCACCGAGCGATTCAGTTCTCTAATTCAGAGCTCACTTGTGACAAGAAGTTGACCTTTTCGTTCTCCTTTCGACAGGTGGCGCCTCGCAAGCACCGTCCGCTGGCCGCGGCGGAGCGCCGGGTGCTGCGCCGCGCCCCCGCGCTGCGCGCCCTGGCCGTGTCGCTGCGGCGCGCGCAGGACCTCCCCGAGCCGCTGTCCGCGCTGCTGCCGTGCTGCGGCCACCTCCGCGAGCTGCAGCTGTCGCTGCCGTGCCTGTACGCCGACATGGCGCGGGACGTGGCGGCACACTGGCCGCGGCTGCAGCAGCTCCGCGTCGAGGCGTGCAGCGTCCAGGAGGGCGGCCTGGAGCGCCTGGGCCAGCTTGACCACCTGCGGAGGCTGCAGGTGGCGACGCTGCAGCCCGCGCAGGGCGTGTGGGGCCCGCTGCGCCGCGCCGCCAGGGACGGCCTGCCCGCCCTGCGCGCCCTGCACGTCGACGCGCGCTGCGACGCCGCCAACATCGACGAGGCCGTCGGCGTGCTGCTCGAGCTGGCCGACCGCGTCACGCACTTGCGCATCGGGTCCCTGGTCCCCGCCGACGCGGCCCTGCTCGGCGCCATCGGCCGCTGCTCCAGGTAAGGCTGCCGACCGCGCAGTGGGCCAGATGACCTGGGCGCCGTCAGAATCCCGGACGCGTTTTGAGCTCCAGAGTCGCTAAATGGGACTCGAACCGAGCGTGTGACCCCACCAATGGATTCCTCGTTCGAAGAGCAAGCCATTGATGGGGGTTACACGCTCGGTTCGAGTCCCATTTAGCGACTCTGGAGCTCGAAACGCGTCTAGAGTTCTGGCCGCCTTCACCGGTCTTCTGGCCTACTGTGCGTCGAGTCCGAGCACCATTCAGCGACTCCGACCGTTTGAAACGAACCCGCTGACGCAACGTCTCGTGGTGTTGCAGGCTCCAGAACTTACACATCGAAGACTGCTCCCAGTTGACTGACGAGGGCCTGCTGCAGCTGGCCGGCCTGAGGCTGCATTCCCTGAGCCTCTGCTTCGCCCGGCAAGTGTCCACCGCCGCCCTGCTCCACTTGCTGCGCGTGTCGGACTTGTCGCTGCTCAAGCACCTGGACCTGAGGGGCTGCCCCGCCCTGACGGACAGGGTCGTGCTCTCGCTGGCATCCAGGTAGGCACTGTGACCACCACCTGCATCGCTCTGTCCCTCTCACACGCATGGGATGTCCTGCACAGGTGCGAGAGAGACAGAGCGACGGAAACGACTCTCAGATCCAGTTTGCCCTTAACTCAATCAAGTTCCGTTTGAGATGACTTTAGTTATTACAATATTTCTTTGTGTCTGTGCAGGTTATCGACTCCACCGAAGCTGGTTGCAGACGACTGTCCCAATGTATCAGGCCAAGCTCTGCAGAGTCTAAATCGTACATCACCTCCTGTGAATGCAGCACACGCCATTGCAGCGTTGTGCACTGTTGCTGCAGTCGCTACTCTCCCAGTTCCAAACAGACCACTTCAAGTGGCTTGATGACACGGCTTATCCAAATTGACTTGAAATGTGTTTTCCTCCTATTGAGAAATGAAGTCTGAGTTATTTGTGTTCATTAACATTCACCCGAGGGTGACAAACAGTTTTGTTTGAAGTATTTATTCAACAGGTTGCAACTACTAATGTAAACCAGGAATGTTTTTGTTCAAATGCACCTGTTCAATCTATGTATTACATTAAAAATGTAAGGGATTGCATATAAGGATATTTATGTGAAATAAATAAAAAAGATCAAGTGTCAAGTTTTATATTTTTTATTTTTCTTAAATCCTGGTTTCCACAGTAATACGCTGGATAAGAAGATATGGCTCCACCAATTAAAGCTAAAATAAGAGCAAATGACCTAGAAAGCAGTGAAAAACAAATCCTATAGAGAAAGGGATGGTTAATAAAACCTTGTGAACGCTTAGTTTGAACTATTACTTGCTCAAAGCAAAACAACTTGCTAAAAAAAATATCATTAGCAGTTGCAGAATTCCTTCCTCCACCTAAGGACAGAAGCAGTGAGTTGAGCAAGTGCTCACTTGTGCTGCATTGAAAGAGGCAATGAGGGGTATGGGGAAAAAAAACAAAGCCCATTAATCTAAATGTCGCTTAAGTGCATGCTTTAAAGAACAGAAATGCTTTTGGCAATTTCAGCAGAATTATTACACTCGAGTGGACACCAAAAGTCCTTTAACACGTGCTCATAAATTTCACCTAAACTAGACAGAAATGAATGAAAGGAAACTAAGGACAGAAAGAATTCAAGATAACTTTTATCAACTATTGCAAGGTGCATATAAAGTTTACGTACAACAAATACTTTGCCTTGACAAATCAAATTTACACCACAATTATGATCCTTTAGAAATATTTAAACTCATGGCATAGGGGCTGCCATTACTAACTATTAGAACAGGAGATCTTAGAGTGATCTAAAATTATGTACATTGATACACCCTAAAGTAGTCAATTTAATCCATGAAAAAAGGAAAAAGAAAAAGCCCACTTGATGGGTTGCAGAAAAACGATCACAGCAAAAGAAGCATAAGTCAATAATAGAAATAAAATTAATAAAACAAAAATAACTCTTAAATACAGAGTGTTTACGTTATAAGATAAATAAACAACTTTCTTTTTATGTTCTAGACAGACGGTGACGGTTGACACACTTCCCGAACTCTGAAGGAGACTCAAAAAGGGGGGCGATTTCAGGCGATTATCTTTCTAGTTTTAAATTTTCTCTGCAGATGGCACACACTACTCCACGGCTACCAGTAACCCGACTGATACACAAAATCGAGGTAGCTGGTAAAAACAAAACAAAAAAAAACAAACAGACGATAACAAAAAATTATCAGAGGGAAACAGATGCAAACCAGAACTCAAAAGTACACACAAGAACACAAGCGTCTATTCAGTCAGCCAGAACCGTGTCGCGTGCGTCTCATCCTCTTGAACCGTCGCGAGAAGACGAGACGAGACGAGGCCGTCGCGGGTTCCCTCTGCGTTTCTCCCATTCTCCGCTCTCGTCATCCGAGTCGAGTCTAGGACTCTTAGTAGAGTAGAGTCTAGGACTCTGGTAGAGTCGAGTCGCACCGACACCGATCTCGCTGCGATCCAGCCACACCGAACGTGGTGCGTCCGTCACGTCCACGTCCACCCGACGCGGCCTCCCGGTCTGATCTAAGTTCAGAGGCTCCGCGGCCGATTCTTTCTAGAGAGACCGTCGCATCGCACGCCTCGCGCTCGCGAGAGGGTCGCAGTGCAGTGCAGTGCGCGTTCGGGTTCGCCTTCGCCTCGCTTTGCAATGCTTTGCTTCGCGCTTTGCTTCGCCTCGCGCAGAGTCGGAAGTCGAGTCGTGTCGTATCGAGCCGCCGCGACGGTCCGATTGGTTCCGATTGACCTGACCGGGCCGATCCGATCCGATCGAGACGAGAAGAGACCGGAGCGTCACGTCGTAAGTCGTTGCGGGGGAAACGCGCCGAGCCGAGCCGATCCGTTCCGTTCCCGACGCCGTGCCGAGTGCCGAATGCTCCGGTTGCCGATCCGGACTAATAGGGGGCGTACCGTCGCGCGGTGGGGGACGCGGCGCTGGACGGAACAACAACACGAGTTAGACAAGCCACTCACTGGCAAAAGTGCAGCTCCAGTGCAGGGGGTGCTCTCTGCGGGCCCCTGTAACTCTGGCACTTTGGACAGGAGGTGGGGAACCCTCCTTGGGGATCAATTTCATACCAACTTCGATTTTCAATATCAAAAACGGGTTCTTTCAAAAATGGTTGAAGTACAGTTCCATGAGGAGGCAGAATTATCAAACCAATGTAGGGTCAGTTGGGGTAATTATGGGACACAGGGTAAAAATGGGACAGCTGATTCTTAGTCAAAAATCGAGATTTTAGAACTTGTGCCATAGCAAATGTTATTTTTTCAATAAAACCGTCACATTTGGTACGTCATGCGTTCAAAAATGTCAAACCTTGACTAAGAATCAGCTGTCCCATTTTTACCCCATGTCCCATAATTACCCCAACTGACCCTACGATATTATTGGTTCCAATGGATGCCTCCTTTGACAGTTAAATAATTTTAAAAAGTTGTAATTGGTACGACTGGGTTCCCCATTGCGTTTTACCGCCATATTTCTTAGCCGCAAGAGTTACAGGCCCCTGGCTCTCTGTTCAAAACACAGCAAAGGAACAGAATGGAACCCATCTCCCTCAACCAACTGACGCCCTGTGGTGAGAAAAAGATCAAATGTGAACCACACCAAATTTGTGCTGGATTTTTTTTTTTTCGGTTTGAAGATGCACTGAAGGAAGCATGATGTAATGACAAATAAATAAGAAGGAGATCAATGGAAATGATATGACTGCTCACAAGCTAAGACTAAAAACCATGCAAAGATAAATTATGTTGGTGAACTAAAATTGAGAGAAAGAGACTCCAAACCCCGAGTTCAGGTGGACTTAGCTCAAAGAGACACATACAGTTCATGCACAGGGAGGGTGGATTTGCTTCAATAAGTTAGTTGGCTTGGATTCAATTCTCAGGTATTCTGAGTAATATTGTCAACTTTTTTGACAAAATTATGGACAGAAATGGTTAAAAACTAATGGATATAGTAGCCTTTGCAATGGGGGAGGTAGAGATAAAACTAAATTTCAGTGAAACCATGTAAAAACCAATGGTGCCAAAAAAATGGTTTCAAGTTACCGCCTCCTGGTCCAGGGTTCTTCAGAAAGAAGATAAAGGGAAGGACTGGAAAGGAGCTGGTTGTCGCTATAAAAGGAAACAAATGGCAACACAAAGCTCTTTCTACTGCGTCATATCCCATTTGAATGCGCTGTCTAACAGCGAAAAGAAGTTTAAAACTATGGATTTTATGAAAGAACCTGCCACAAATTAATTGCGAAACACAAATTGAAGATACAGCTGCAAGTAAACAGACAATCTAGTCCCAATGAAACTCCTCCTGATACTGGTACTGCAGCACACCAAATAAGAAATCTACTTGACAAGACCATTAATATGAGTTCACATATCTGGAAAGGAAGATTGAGCTGGAAGAATAGGGCACTTACCTGTAGCGAGCTGCGGCTGCTGCTGCACTAGGAGGAGAACGTCTGGTGAAAACATCATACCCACGGTCGAATTCTGATGAGGGACTGCGCAGTGGTGCAGGAGGGAAAGCATCCCTTGCGCCTCGGAGACCTGGTGGCATTGGGGGATATTCTCGACCGCGAGGGAGGGGAGGCATGGCATACCTTCTCTCATACAGATCACTTTCATAGGCGCGCCGCTCGTACATCCCTTCATAAAGCCCGCCATCCTGCAACAATTAGCATTTATTAAGAGCAACACATATTGAGAGGTGCAATCCACAGAAGCGTGTGCATATACATTGCTTTCAACTTACCCGGAACATTCTGTCTCGGAAGAATGCTGGAGGAGGGGGTGGTGGGGGGTAGTGGTCCCGACCAAATGCAGGTCCGCCTTGGTAGCCACTGCTGGCACCAGCACCCCTAAGAAAGGAAAGAAAGTTTGAAAATTACTAAGCATCATCAGTGCTCATTCAGAGTAAGTTCTCATCACCACAACAGATTCTTGAAATGAAATATCAGGATATTTACCCCTTGGTGCATTCTTTGGACCAATGACCACCACGCCCACATCTAAGGAAAAGAAAAACAAAGAAAACAAGGATTATATGAGAGCGCTATGAGTCACAGGGACCAACAACAACAATATGAACATTGACACCCTCACCTGTAACACATTTCAGAGTCTCCCATGCCCGGTCGTTGACGGACACGGCTTGTGGAGATTTGAACTTTCATTGGCTGGCCATCAACCAAAGTCCCATTCAATTCACGAACAGCTTCATTTACATTGTCAGTTGCATCCATGTGCTGAAAAACAATGAATAAAACATTTGAACAATGTTCGTCAAGAGTCTCATAATTAGAAAGATAGTGATTACTTACAACAAAACCATAGTTTCGAACAATGTCGCATTCCACGACAGTGCCAAACTTGGTGAACAGTTCTCGTATCTCTGGAGCTTTGGTATTGTCCGTGAGGTTCCCAACAAATATCTTGGTTGTTGCAGTGTGTGGACCTTTCCTACTTGTAGCTGCTTCCACTTTCATGGCACTGTTATCCAGCATGAATCCATTAAGATTTGTTATTGCGTCCCGGCCCTGTTCCTCTGTTTCCATGTGCTAAACAGAGAAAATCAGACATGTACAATCAGCACAAGTACACACATTAAAATACTCGAGCCTGAAGGATAAACATAGGCAACTTACCACAAATCCATAGTTTTTGACAACATCACATTCAACAACTTTGCCATACTTCTCAAAGAGAGGTCTCAGTTCGGCTGCAGTTGTTGAGTCAGCCAAGTTTCCAACAAATATCTTGAAAGTACCGGAGCTACTGAAGGAAGGCATGTTGTGATGAGTCAGCTGAAAATATAAAACAGAAACAAGGTCATGCAACAACTACACACATGGTTATCATTCCATATCTATGAAAAGAAATCAATGCCTACAGAAGCATATTCACATCGGTAAGTTATCATTTTCTGAAAGAAAAGATTTGGGGGAATGCTGCCCAAACCCTTCAACTCGGGTTGGGCGATAAGAAATTAATTAGCTATGATGAAAAGATGGCTAGAAAACCAATATATAATGCAAGGATCGTGTTTGAATATTTCCTAGAGAGCTAGAAATCGAAAACAGCAGTAGGCTCACTCTTGACCTCACGCCCCTAACCTCAAACGCCAAACGTTAGCAAAGGAGATCAACTGGCTTGGATTTAAATAAACGCAGATCGAGAACAAAAACACAGGCCATTACAAAAGGGAGAGGCACAAATTATTATTGGACCACAAACAAAGACGTGGGCGACGGATAAGGAGTGAATGACAGGAGACCGATGCAGAGGACGCATATCGTATCAGACATTCAGGAGGCGAGTTCAAGCATCCGAAAAGCTAGGACTTCGGCAAATAACACAACAGGAGCACCCACATACCTAAGGCTGTCTCTTTCCTTGAAAAGTTTTCGCTAATCGTCCTTTCCCTTGAAACTCATGAAAAGATGGCGCAGCGAGGGGCGGAGAAAATCGCAGCTGAGCAAATATGGCCGACTGATCACCTGGTCGTGGCGAGCCAAGCCAACTGCAGAATATTTTAGTTGAAAGTGATTGAAAAACAATGATTTTTGTCATAGGAGAACAGCCGTCGCAATAAAACAAAAATCCCTTAAATTTTAGTACAGGAAAAAGGGAAAGAAACGTGAGAAAAGAGGTGGCTTTACTACAGATACAGGGAAGTAATAAAAAAATAATCCCTGTGTGTGGTGATGTACAGGAAGGAATGGGTAAAAGTGGTGAAATCAACGTCAAAATTGTCATAAAATTTATTATTCAAATCCCCCAGTTTTGGTGTACTGATAAGCAACCTGGCGACACATTTAAGGTTTACCCTTCAATATCAATTCCGTAGCCGTAAGAATAACATGGAAATAATTCAGTTCGCGACTTGCAACTTGCACAACATTTGTTAAGGGTTCATAATTGTTAAGAAACTTTCATTCGCGAGTGCAGAAGATGTCTGACATATTTGAGGGGATGGCTTCTCATAAGCAAATTTGACTATGGAGAAAATCATTGTTAAATACAAATACATCGACATGCAAGTACACATCAAATGCCATATTTACATGATGCACGAATAAAGCCAAGAAGCAGTGTCAAGTAGATCCTGAAAAAATAAGTTACACCCAAATGGAGCAAAACAAGCAGGCATTTACAAAAGCTGTTCCCCAAAGCCACAATCCTGAACAACTTGACCAAATTATCCACCACATGACATGCATCTCCCCCAAGGCAATAAAAGCTCAAGGCAATTGTTTTTTTAAGTGAGTAAGTAAAATATGGCAGCTTGATTTCCTCCATGTGCAGGATTTGTGTACCTCAACAAGCCTTCTAATAAATAAAAAGTGTCTCGATGTAGCAAAAGTAGTTGCAGTTCTTCCAATAAAGCAGCCTTCATAGCAAAAGAAAAAATAAAACTGAAGTGTTAGCCATTTTGTTGCAAATGACAAAGTAAAAATTCTCTGGGATCTACCCCACATTTATTTTAACATCACCAAAAACAAAAAAAGGAAAGCTTTGAGAAATCAGAGGTTCAGGTTTGACTGCAATGAAGATGACAAAATGCAAACCCTTTGAAAATATACAAGAACCAGAATCCCGAGGAGACATGGCCTTATAGAGCTCACATCATGATTTACTATAGAAAATATAGATGCTATGTGCAGCAAAATGATAATGATAGTAAGTCTATCCTCTTGATATAAACAATAAAATGATCTTAAAGCATTCAACGTATTTTGCTCAGCGATTGTAGAAAAGACATAGTTAATAGCTACACATCTCAATAGCGTCATAAAATTAAAAAAATCTTACATTATAAAGGACATCTCCTACCTACAGCATTGTACTGTGATATTATTCTTTATTTTCTGATAAATAACCTTAACTATATTGCAGCAATCGATATATCACTAACTCAATACAAATGAGTTGTTAATTAAAATGAGAGGTTGTCAAAGAATTGTTGAATGCAACACGTTGAGGACAACCAGTTACTTAACTACATGCACTCCGTTACGTGGCAATTCCGTTGAAACAACAATGAATATCAACACACGTCTTCCCAAAGACAAATCCTTAGCTATGTCAAATTTAACTAATACAAAAGCAAACGGGAAGATGCCAAAAACGGCTATGGAAGAAGACTTTGAAGTTTGCCGACGAATTCCCTCGACGAATGCTCCCGATCATTGCGATTCCCGCGCCTTGCCTTCGCGACGCCTTCGCGACGCGATGCCACGCCACTGCACGCCACGACCGGACCGGACCGGACCGACTCAGCTCGGACCGTCTCTCGGCTCGACGATCCCATTCGCCGGAATCGGATCAACACGGCATCAATACGGCGCGTACCGCGAGGTCGAGCTGATGAGCAGACAAAAACCACAACATTAGAGGAGAGGACGCTTGCACGCTTCACAACGCGCCAGCGCGCCAGCGCGCCAGCCGACACGCCCACACGGCCGACTCGGTTCGGGGTTCTCACGCCGCACGAGGGTTCCTCCGAAGTTACTCGTCAGGAGGTCAAAAGGGTTGCGACAATTTCTTCATCAAAACACCACTACAGAGTTTAAACCGAGCCAGGGCTCAAGTTAAGAACGGCTCACACATCAGGCAAAGCATACGAGAAAAGCAACAACTTTCAACTGCTGCCATTTCCTGACAATACTCACCTCACTGAAAAATGGGGCATGGCATGCACAACGAACAAGCATTAACAGCACAAAGCACAAACAAAAGCTGACAAGCAAGACAGCTGTAGGTTGTGACCAAATGCCTTACTTGGTCGGGAGGGAATTGGACACAGGGCCTTAGTAAGAGGAGGGGGAGGGAGGGTCAAACATCAGGTGCACCACCCGGATTGCTGTTCTGAACAGCATCTTGGCAGCTGAGAGAAGAGTTGAGAAAAAGTTTAAACGCTATGGCAGGTGGTAAATGAGATGGGACACAAATCAGAGTTTAATTGGACATAATGCAATAGTCAGTTGACAAGTGCAGTTTCCACACAAAATTACAGAAGATGTGATAAAATTGGGTTACCACCAAAAATTTAAAGAGAAGACAACCAAACAAACAGAACACAAAAGGGTCGCTAAATGAAATTTGTGCTAATTTGGACTAGAGGTGACCACATGCAAAAATGTCATGCCTTGAGACCTAGAGAGTCAGTCCACTTGGAACTGTCCAATAAAACACATACCCATAGCGAGCAGCAGCTGGCGGAGATCGGCGAGTGAATCCTTCATATGCTGCAGCAGGGCGATCAAAGGCAGGCTCTCTGCGGGTGCCAAGGGTGGGTAGAGGAGGCATGTCACGGCGAGGAAGAGGGGGTGTCAAGTAATCAGCACGAGCTCTTGAGAGATCTGGGTAACCACCACGGCGTTCGAACAGATCACGCTCATCGTAGCGAGGGCGGTCATACATGCCATCATAGTAGCTATCCTGTAAAATTAAGAAAAGATTAATTAGATATGTTGATAGAGGGTCATGAGCTATGTTTAAGATACAGGGTAATATGTAAAACAAATAACCTACCCTCATGCCGAACATGCGTTCTCTGATGAATGGAGGTGGGGGAGGTGGTGGGTAGGGCTCTCGTCCAAACATTGGGCCCCTGAATCCGTTCCTCATGCTACTGTAATATCAAAAGCCAGGTTAGTCACAAAACACTTCATAGGGATACTTGAAAACATTTTTAAGGACTCACCCCTTGGTGCACTCCTTGGACCAGTGTCCTCCACGCCCACATCTGTAGCACTGCTCAGCATCTCCCATACCAGGCCGCTGTCGGACTCTGCTGGTTGAAATTTGTACTTTCAAGGGCTGACCATCAACCATAGAGCCATTAAGTTCTTTCACTGCTCCAGCAACGTTGTCACTTGTCTCCATGTGCTGCAAAGAAGAGCTTTTGTCAAGCTTTTGGCAAATGATAGGACACAATTATTTTCAGGAGCGAAGAGATCCAACTTACCACGAAGCCATAATTCCGCACAATGTCGCATTCCACAACAGTTCCGAACTTTCCAAAGAGCTCACGAATCTCTGCAGCTTTAGTGTTGTCTGTCAAGTTACCAACAAAGATCTTGGTAGTTTGAGATGCGGGTCCCTTGCGACTGGTGGCAGCTTCAACTTTGATGGCGTTGCCGTCAATGGAGAAGCCATTTAAGTTTGAAATGGCGTTGCGTCCTTCCTCGTCTTTTTCCATGTGCTACAAAACAATACATACTACAGTGGTGCTCACCAAAACCAAAATTTGGCATGAAATAAATTTACATAAAAGGAGTACTTACCACAAAACCGTAGTTTTTCACCACATCGCATTCCACAACCTTTCCATATTTCTCAAAGTGAGGTCGTAAGTCATCGGCTGTGGTTTTGTCGGCTAAATTGCCGACGAAAATTTTAAAAGTCCCAACAGGGTTGTTGAAGCCTGGCATTTTGGCCTGGTCCTCCATCCTGTGGGATAATGCCAAGTATTAATAACATGGAGGAACAATTTCGGACGCGCTACGCCCCCAAGGCTAGCCAAATCCGCTCGTTTCGCGGGGCAGGAAGGCGAAATAAAGGGGAATGGAATGCACGCCATGCTGGAATACCCTGCGCCGGGACCGAGACCGAGGACCAAGCTACGAACGTCACATTCTTCTGGTCGTTACCCTCCCATGGAGAAAGCCACGGGTACCAAGCGATTCTGGCACCAGCGAGAGCTTCCCCGGCACCAAACCAAGTGCATTCAACGCAACGAACACAATTAACCGCAATGAAGTGCAATCTTCGAAAAAATTCGGGGTCCTTAGGGTGCAAAATGGAGTTTGAAGGGGAAGAGGCCAGGAGTTCCTACTCGAGACGCCATTTCAGGCCGATGACGCCGGCTGCATCGGCCCAAGAAATCGACCAACAGACGGGAGTTACGGCCACCTACGTCAAACCCTATCATCGAGAACCCGTCTAGTACCCTAGGCTCACTTTTTGAAACATAAATAGAGCAGGAATAGCCAAAATTACTCACTTTTACGACTTTTTGGAAGATGATAGCGACGACCGTCTTCTCGTTACGCCGCTTCGCCGTGCACCGCCTTCTAAAAAACCTGTTTTTGGCTTGCCCTTCAAATCGAGAGGCGAATCACATCGATATATCGATACATGCGTACTGAAGAGCGCGAAATTCGAATGCCCAGTAAGACTAACCACCCCGATTACGGCCCTTGCAGTGGTAACTAAAGATATTTCGAGTCAAGTTACATTGAAGCAACGTCAGTTGTCTTTTTCTATATAAAATGAGGACTAGACCTTTTCCGTAGTCCAAGGTTATGACATGGAGACGGTTATGACCCACAGAAAACCATTTTGGATGGATGGGGGTTTGAGAGACATCAAAATACTTGTCTTATTTTTCTTTTTATTCCAACAATCACATTATATTCATGATAAAATCTGTGAGCACCTGAAACATGGGAAAATATCCTGCTAAGACTACTTTTGGTCAAAACATCTTCTTCAACATAACATCTTTGCCAGAAAAGTTAGAACTAGTAATATTTCTCCTAAAATGTACCATTCACTAATATCTCTAGTAACGTATATGAGATCAGCCTTGATTTTTATGGCACATTTTTTGTACATATTTTGTACACAAAAAAAAACTAGCAAGAAACCAACGAAGAATTGGAAAATATTAGGCACCTGATCACCCTGTAGTTTGAGCATTACTCTTGACAAACAATTGAGTAATCTGACACAGTATGAAAAAATGTGGTTTAAGAACAAGAACAGTCTTATAATCATACATTTATAAACAGAATTTACATCAGAACCTTCATTGAGGGGAAGTTTGCTTCAAGTTTCAACGAACTTGTGTGTTTACACCGACAATGCAAACAGAGAACACAAATAATTGTACTTATGGCGACCATTTTAAGAAACATACAGTCTCAAATAAAACTAGAACCAACTGGCAGCAGGAATTCATCATCAAAACATCATTAATGACCTTAGCATTATTATAAACATATCTTGCCTGCTTCAAGAGCATTAAATTCTTTCAACGAGATTGTGCTAACTGACACATTGGTCAATGAGCTGAATCGATTGCAAAGTATCAAGCTTTAGTATTTTGTATCAACAAGTATAAAAATAAAGCATTCCAAAATTTTTAACACATACTCAATGGGTTATTTCAGTTTTAATTTTAAAAGCCATGAGCGCTAAACAACATAATTTTTCACTATTAAAGATAATACAGATTTCATAAGGATAAGCTAAGAATTATGCAGGAAGTAGCGATTTTTGAACAACAAAAAAAAGAATGCACCCTCAAAGCTAAATAATAAAAATACAGCCATAATCATTTCTGGACTGACTAGTATTGGATGCATAAAAGTACATCCTATGATAGTTGCAACTATATTTACAACAATAAATGAAGCTTGCCCGCAATTCAGTGAAAACAATGCTCTCTTCACACATGATAACATATAAAATAAAAAGGGAGTAGTAAAAATGATCACAAGCCCTGCAATGAGCAACAGCATCACATTGACCCACATTAAACTTGACTACTGACTACTGGGGTCTTGTTATAAGTTCAACAGCAATAGGAAGACAATAATAGACTGGTTGCATGCGGTAACAGACAACACAATAACAAAATTAATTCCCGCACAAAAAACTAAAAACAAATAACAATTCCTACTCAACTTGGCAATAATTATAACAAAGGTACATGGATAAATAATGCACCAGAAAGTTAGAAAGGGAGTTACATAAAGCCAGACCACAGATGAAAGCAGCAAGCATTTACAAGGCCTTCCACAAGCAAATGTATTTCTTCAGCCGAACATGGCCTCAAAGCTGTACTTTGCCGTCTCTCTTTCCTTTGATTCAGTGCTTCAGGCGGCGTTCGATAAACAACAGCAAGTTCCTGAAAATTGGAAATACTTAACAGTTATCAAACCTACCACTGTATTTGAATTTTATTTGAAAACAGGCAGTACTTTACTTACACCACGTGCCGTGTGCAAGTCTAGAGAAAGCATGACAAATGCCTCGAGGTAGCGAGGATGGAGCACCACTATGTGCTGAGCACTGCCATCTGGTGCGGAGAATTGTCGATTGTGATCAGCATACTTGGTCACCAACAATTTTGCCAAACCTTGGTACCAGCTGAGAGGTTGAGCCAGCAGAGGTTTCAAGCGGGAATCCAATGCCGATAAGGGCTCCACATCTGCTAGTCTAACCAGTTCTCTAAATTCAATGTAGCTTAAACTCTGTCCCTGCTGACCAAAAACATCATGAATTAACAAACAAATAAGTTGTAGTGTAAAATAATTTTCAATGGAAATTGCAAGGGGAAACAGTACCTGGTGGTCTTTGGGGTTGGAACGTATGTTATTCCCTACGGCTGGGCACATGAGTCGTGTCCACAGCATGTGGGTGCGACAGTGCATTGCACCTAGAGTAACCATAGACACAATATGGCTGCGAGCAGCGGCTGCTTGCTGTAATATTAACTGCTGCATCAACTGCTCATGTGACGAGTAATATCCAAGGTAGTTAACAGCCTCTTGCCTGTAAACATGAGAAAAATGGTAAAAAATAATCCCCAAAACATTTTATTATAAAATGATAAACTACAAGCCAAACAGAAGCAACATACCTAATTTCAACATGGTGGCTGGAACTCAGTGGACCACCAGCTTCACTGTTGACTGACTCTGATTCCGTTGACAGGGGTAAAGTGTTGGGTAACTCTGGCACCGAGCTGGAGTGAGATTCAAGGGAGACTAGTACGGAACAGAGGTCGGGGGTGGCTTCCGAGGCCGGGGAGGGCAGCCTGCCCGTCACCACGCTACCGGGAACATCCTGAGTCACCACCTCCAACAGCGTAGGAGCATTCAGGGTAGCTGCAATAAAATATATATTTGTTTAAAACGGTGTATTTTGGAACCTTTACAGCTCTGAGTCTGCAGGCACCTTGCGGTGGGCCAGAACAGTACCTTGTCAAAGTCCCGGACGCGTTTTGAGTTCCAGAGTCGCTAAGCGAGATTCGAACCGAACGTGTGACCCCTCCAATGGATTGCTCTCCGAACGAGGAATCCATTGATGGGGTCACACGTTCGATGCGAGTTCCGTTTAGCCACTCTGGAGCTCAAAACGCGTCTAGAGTTCTGGCCGGCGGCGCCAACTGTGCCTCGCTCACCTGGCCCTGGCGTGGAGGGTGCCGACGGCGAGGCCGACTGCATGGAGCCGTTGGAGTCGGTGAGCGACGCGATGATGGGCGGCGCGACCGGCACGGCCACCGGCACGGCCACGGGCATCATGGGGATGGCCACGGGCATGGCCACCGGCACGGCCAGCTGCGCCTGCGAGGGCGTCGACGGCGGCGTCTGCGGCACGGGGGCGGGCGGCGGCGGCGGCGGGGTGCACGCCACGGGGGCGCCGGGGGCGGGCACGTTGGCGGTGGACACGGTGCGGAACTTGCCCTGCTTGCGCTCCACCTCGGCCTTGGGGTAGCGCTCGCGGCGGCTGGTCAGCACGATGAAGTACTTGAGGCAGAGCTGCGTGAGCTCGCCGAGCGGCGTGCCCGCCTCGTGCGCCACGATGAGCGTCACGTCGAAGTCGTCGGTCTGCTTGAGGTCGTGCACGTCGCGGTACGACAGGTGGGGCGTCGTCTTGTGCTGCACGAGCACGTACTCGTTCTGCATGTGCGCGGCGCCGAGGGCCACGTCGTCGTGCTCGGCGTGCTCGTCGTACGTGACGGGCGCCATGCGGAACACCTCCATGCCGTAGGCCTTGTCGTTGGTCAGCAGGTAGCTGAAGAGCTGCAGGCCGGGCGTGGCGATGTCCGGCACCGTCACCGTGTCGGCGTGCACCAGGTTGCGCGCGAAGTTGGGCGCCTTGGAGTAGTACTTGAGGAAGTCCTCGAGGAAGAGCGTGAGGTGGTAGCCGGGGGGCAGCAGCCCCGCGCCCAGCCCCGGCGACGGCGAGGTCACGCAGCCGTGCAGGCAGCGCAGGTGGTAGTCGTAGGCGAACGAGTGCAGGTGCAGCAGCACCTTGACGCGGTCGCACTCGTCCAGGAAGCTGACGGTGAACTGCGAGATGAAGGCGGGGGACTTGGTCTGCATGCGCGAGCACTCCAGCGCGTGCAGCCGCGAGTGGAAGAAGGGCTCGGCGAGCAGCAGCTCCACCATGAGCACGCCGCCCAGCAGCGACTTCTGCAGGAAGTGGCTCTGGCGGCGGCGCGGCACGGTGCCCGGCGCGGCGGCCACGGGCGCGGCCTCCGTCAGCACCGGGATGAAGCCGAGCGTCTGCAGGTACTGCTGGTACTGGTGCACGAAGTTGGCGCACAGCGCGGCGTGCCAGCGGTCCTGCGCCACGCTCATGCTCGCCATGCTGCCGCGCCGCTCCTTGGCGGGCGTGCCTCGCGGCGTGCTCCTCGGCGTGCTCCTCGGCGTGGCGCGCGGCGTGGTGGCGCCGCCGGCGACCGGGGACGACGGCATGCTCGGCGGGCTGACGCTGAGCGAGTGGTCGCGCGTGGCGGCCGAGTCGACGCGCCAGCGCGGCAGGAACAGCAGCGGCGTCAGGCAGTAGTGGATGGTGCGGGCGTGCTGCAGGAACAGCTGCAGCACGTCCGGGGCCAGCGGGATGTTCGGCGTGGCGCCGCCGCGGCTCTGCCACAGGCTGTTCAGCTTGCGCTGCTGGTCGGCTGCAGTGCAGGACAGACTCAGTTTCAATCGGGTGACGGACAAGTCGTCCCCACTAACTCGTCCCGGGTATATCTCGACCCCAGTCTAACTCGCCCCGGGCCGAAGGCTCGACTCGCCCCCAATGTCGTGCCAACTCGTCCCCAAATGTCTTTATTGTTTTAAAAAATGTCTTTGCGCCGCGCACCTCGATTTGCGCAGTGCTAATTTACTTAATACGTGCAACGCCCTCCTATTCCCCTTCCGATTTCGACTGATTTATTTTTAACAAGGCCACGCCTCTTGAGCTGCCAAAACGTCCTAAAAGAAAGTCGCTAAAATTATAGGCCGGCAAAATCCATCTGACTTCATCGCTTTTTTGCCCTTATCTATGAGTTACTTAGCTACGTCGATGATTGTGGTGACTGAAAATTTGAAGTCATCCCGTAGAGCAAGGAACAAGACTATGGCCAGAAATTTGACGAACAAATCGAGATGCAGCGCAAAGCAAACTTTTAGTACTAAAATGAGATTCTGAACGAAAATCCTTTACAGTATTTATCAGATGGCTCCAAAGAATGTTCAAAATTTTGGTTACATGGTTGCCCAGAAAATGCAACTTTAGGAGTTTTAACTCCACTGGCCACAACCGGGCGGTTCACATTTAAGAAACGTGTCCATGAGTCGATCCTCCATAAAAGTTAAATAAAACCATGTAAAAGAACTTATTCGATTGGTGGCGAGTTAACCCGGGAACTAGATGGGCGGGGTCGAGATGTGCGTGGGGCAACTTAGGCCGGGGACGAGTTAGCGGGGACGAGTTGTCCTAGATCCGTTTCAATCACGCGTTTTTCGACAAGGGTTTCACGCCGAGGCAGCGGACTGATTCCGAGAGTCGTTTTCTGTTCCTCTCGCACTCATCGGACGTACCGCATAGGTGCGAGAGATGCAGAGCAACGGGAACGACTCACAGTGGGCCAGAAGATCGGTGGAGACGGCCAAAACTTCGGACGCGGTTTGAGCTCCCGGGTCGCTAAACAGGACTCGAACAGAACGTGTGACCCCACCAATGGATCGCTCTCCAAACGAGGAATCCATTGGTGGGGTCACACGTTCGGCTCGAGTCATGTTTAGCGGCTCTGGAGCTCAAAACGCGTCAAGAATTTCAGCCGCCACACCGGTCTTCTGGCCCACTGTGCGACTCTAAGATAAGGTCCACTTGCCACTCACCGTGCTTGTCCAGGCTGCGCGTGGCGATCATCTGCCGCGCGTGGCGCACCACCAGGTCGCCCGGCGCGGAGCTGAGCGGCGCCGCCCGGCAGTCCCGGTACACCTGCTGTAGCGCGCTGAGCGGCAGCCCCTGGCCGCCGCCGTGCTGGCCGCCCTGCTGGCCCGCCTGGCCGCCCTGGCCGGAGGGCGCCGGCGAGGTGGGCGTCGTCGTGCCGCTGTTGCCGCTCCAGCCGCCGCTGCGACGCGGACCGCCGGAGTTGCCCGTCGGGCCCAGCGACTCCTTGCGGGGGAACTTGGTGAGCACCTCCAAGTCCCCGACCCGGCTCATGTAGGGGTTGCTCTGCTGCAAGGAAGAGGCAGTCGTCAGTCACGGAGTTTCTTGTGTGACTCGGGCCCGGGCGTGGATCCGTGAGGTCGGCGGGTTGCCAACCCGAGTGCCGGTGGTCTAGCCCTTAATGGTAATGGAGCGTAGGCCAAACACGGCACGGGAGCTCGGCGGGCTGCCTACCCGCTCGTCGTTAGGCGCTCGGCTCCACTCCACAGTGGTCCAGAAGACCAGTGGAGGCGGCCAAAACCCTAGACGCGTTTTGAGCTCCAGAGTCGCTAAATGGGACTCGAACCGAACGTGTGACCCCACCGATGGATTGCTCTCTGAACGAGGAATCCATTGGTGGGGTCACACGTTCGGTTGGGTTAGGTCTGAAGCTCAAAACGCGCCTGGAGTTTTGGCCACCTCCACCGGTCTTCTGGCCCACTGTGCACAGGGAAGGCAGCGAGAAGGGGCACGTACCTTGTTGTCTGAAGGCCGAATGCATGGCTGGTTGTGAAACAGGCCCATCTTCTGGCACACTATACTAGTCAGCAGACTTGACCGGGCACTCAGCCAGTGCCCCAGCAGGGTGGACTGGTAAATCAAACTGTCCACAGACTCTTTGGACCAATTATAAGTGAGGATTTCCATCTGTAAACCCATGTGTGTTATTACATAACATGAAGAAGCTACGTCACAGGTTTAAATATTGAGGACTTACGTCTTTGCTGGTGACTACTGTAAGGAGGAATCGCTGTCTTGGGACAAAGCGATGTTCATGAGGTGTAGTCCCAAAGAGGGGTAGAAACTTTTGGAGTCCTTTGTTGGCAACTAAAAGGACAAAAGGCAACCAAAAATTTTTTTTAACTGCATGCCAAGGTGTGTTAGATATGGAAATACTTCCTGCTTACTGCACCTTTAGCATCCGCCTTTGAAGAAGGTCCCCTGGGATCAGCAACAAAGCATCTCCACTGAGATGGGTTACGGGTGAGGAGCAGGCACCGTGTGGGCAAGAAAGTAGACTCCTCATTCCAGCGGCAAGCTCGGTATGTCACTGCACCGCTGGAGTCAGTCTCCTCTGCAAAGACAGCAGTGCGAGTGTCCTTGGCGTGTGTTGTTATTAACGATTCCAGCTCCTGGACTGCTACGGCAAGTGAGTGCCTGCAATGAAATATAAAATTTAAATTAATTCAAAATAAATAAGAACACGCAATAAAGTGTTGCTAGTTTAACTCTAAAGTGAGTGTGGTCAGATTAAAAAGTATTGATAGAAATACCTTGAGGCAAGTTGTACGTTGTGTTTGCGGACTGAAGCCACTCCGAGATCAACAGCGTACTCCAGCCACGGCTGCATGGATTTATGGTAAACTGGATGCAGCTGAGAGCGAGAGGAGTAGTTGACTGGCTGAGAATCTGTAATGATCATTAGTTTTATCAAGCAAATGTTTCATAATCTTTTCAATTGCGAAATGGAGCATAATTTTAGGCAGTCGTACTCAAACGGTCCAGTGAGAGGGTCAGAGAGAGGGAGTTGGGGGTGGTGGAAGGCGTGGTGTTGGGGGTGAGCACTGGCGTGGGTGCAGGTGTGCTGGACTCCTCAATGGGAGCCGTCAAGATGGTGAACTCAGTGAGGAGGTCCCACACAGCGTGTCGAACTGCACTCTCCAGCTTCTGGACCAGAACCTCCAAGTTGACACGCCCCTTCTGCCAGATACGGAACTCCACCCTTGCTGCAGACTCCAGTTCCGCATCGGGGGTGGCAGTGCCGCCACAAGGAGCAGGCGCATCTGGCCAATACCTGTGCACACTCGTCAAGTCCTGCAAAAAAAGAAAAGAAAATTACAATGGGGCACATTGATAGAATACTTTACAAACTACAATGCAAGTATTCTGAGCAAGCTGACCTGGAAGTGCTCAGGCAGAGGTGCTTCAGCATGAGCCCAGAGCTGAGGTCTACGGTAGGGGTTGTTCCTTAACATGAGGTGCCCTGCCCGATCCATGATTCCTACAGCCAGGCAAGCGAGACCTCGACTTCCACTAGTTGCAGTCTGGTTGTACAAATACAAGTATCCCTCTGGGATGTATGAGGGAGAATCCACTTGCTGAGAGTAGTCCTAGAATATTAAACAGAATCAGGGATTATTACTAAAACATAGATAGTTTAACTTGAAACATAGGGCAAGGCTGATGCTGAACATTACCTGGAAGTGTCCACTGGGTTGGGGATCTGTGTACTTGGGTTGGTGAAGGAAGTGAAGCAGATCTTGATGAAGATAGAAGGCCAGCGCTTGAACATGAAGATCTGCATGCGCCGGGACAGAAAACTGACGAAACAAAAAATACAGAAAATTTAAAACAACGTAATTAAAAATTAAACAAAAATTAAAATTCTAGCCGTGTCCAAGATAGTGGGCCATAGTGGGCCAGAAGACCGGAGGAGGCGGTCAAATTTGTAGACCCGTTTTGAGCTCCAGAGCCGCAAAATGGGACTCGAACTGAACGTGTGACCCCACCAATAGCTTGCTCTCCGAACGAGGAGTCCATTGGTGGGGTCACACGTTCGGTTCGAGTCCTGTTTAGCGACTCTGAAGCTCAAAACGCGTCTAGAGTATTGGCCGCCTCCACCGGTCTTCTGGCCCACTGTGAGGCGCCGAGCTGACCGCTCACCTGCACGGTGGTCTCGGGCGGCTGGTGGGGCCGCTGGATGAAGTGCACGTCCTCGGCGGAGAGCTTGCACATGGGGTTCCTGGCCAGCATGACGGACAGCACGTCGAGCACGGCCACGTCCAGCCTGCTCTGCAGGGCCTGCATCAGGTCCTGGCGCACGTCGGCGCCGGCGTCCGAGATGCCGTGCACGCGCAGCGTGATGTAGTCCTCGCGCACGTGGTGCACCCCGTGCGCGTGCACCGCGTTCACGCCGAGGCTCCAGCGGCCCTCGCCGGACGAGCTGAGCGGCGTGTCCTTCTCGCCGAAGGAGCGCACGCGCGGCCGCAGGTTGTGGTTGTAGGCGTGGATGTCGGCGCCGGGGATGGACGACACGGACGCGCCGTCCTCGGCGTGGTGCACGCTGCCGTGCACGCTGCCGTGCACGCTGCCCGGCCCGGACGGGTGCAGCCTCCTCGACGTGTTGAGCGAGGCCGTCGACGAGCTGCGCGACACGGAGCACGGCGAGCTCTCCCCCGTGTACGGCGGGCCGTAGGGGCCGTGGCCGCCGTGCAGGCCGCCGTGCAGCCCGTACGCGTACGGCCCCGCCATGGACCCGCCCATGGACCCGCCCATGGACCCCCCCATGGAGCCCAGGCCACTCATGGGGCCGCAGGGGGCGCTGATCTTGGCCATGCTGCGCTGGTTTTCGTGCAGCCTGTACAAAAACAGGAATTAAAATCAAACCAATATTTTTTAAACAACCATTAACATTTTTCTGGACGTAGGGACAGGTTTGGGAAGACAAGTACACCCTTGTGGAGTTGATCTCTAGACTTTGAACCATCCCTCGACCAGTTATTTCAAATTATCATGAGAATATGAGTGCAAAAACATTTCAAATGAATGTCGAGCAGTGGGCCACAGGGATGTGCGCTCTCTGACCCTGTACTTTTCTTCCAAACTTAGCCCCCTCCAAAACAAAAACAAAAAAAAACCCAAGAACTTTAATTCTATTTCTTACCTGAGGTAGAAGACATTGCCCTGGCTGTCCCTGTACACAAACATGTTCCGCCTGTTGGTGACACTGAGGTGGTTGAGGACATTGCGGAGCGCTTGGATGCCTCGGGAAAGCCCTCCTTTCCCAGGGGGCCCAGTCTTGAGGCGAGGATGAAGGACAAAGTGCGTCTCCCATACAACACCGCATGAAAAGTGGCCCGCATCAAATTTGGCAAGACTTTTCCCACTCAGGGACAGAGAATCAGCAGAACTTTGGTTCGAGTCTCGGTTATCTGAAGTGACAACGTCATTTTTAATCACATACATGAGACAGGCTTCAAGAGAAAATGGTAAAATACAATTTAAATCTTACCCTCCAATGATTTAAGTCGATGAAGGACTGTGTCACCATGCCAACCATCATCAACCTGCTCCGGTTCTAGCAAGGTATCACAGAGCAGAGTTTCATGAAGTGACGACAGAAGCAATGTCTGATTAACACGAATGCAAAGCCTTCGCAGCTGTTCAAGAACTCCAGTGAACACTGCTCTGTATGAGGAAACTTCCTCAGTTTCCATATCAAGAAATCTGCAATAAATTTGTTTTAAATATAAAATTGTTGAGAGCTACTGCATGTAGTCAACAGATCCATGTAAAACATGATTGAAAAGTAAAAAGAACACACCTGCAGTGGAAATACACATATACAAGGTCCCCTTCAACTCGTAGAATGATCCAAAAGTTAGGCAACTTGTCACGACTCCTCTCAAGCTCAAGCAGCCAAGCACAATCTTGTCCTGAGTCACTGCTACCTCCATCGTAACCTGGGAACAAAACACTCAATTCAAGCCAAACCACGTGGTTTCTATAAGAACAATAACAAAGTAATTTTTTAAACAATTTAAAAAAAAAGTCGGTTAAAAAAAAAAATTAATATTCTTTTTTTTACCGTCTTCTGTGCCGAGTGCGCTTTCGAACAGACTGGACACCTCGCTATGTCGAGCCGCCGCCTCGCTCCAATTGCACAGGTCGCTGTCCGGGTTGAGCATCATGGTCATGGGGGTGGCCAGCATGGCCTCCTCGGCGAGCCCATGGCCCTGCACGCCGTGTCCCTGCGAGCCGTGGGCCTGGTGCACGGTGTGCACGGTGTACACCGAGTCCCTCGCCGAGCCGGAGCCGTCCGTGGACTGCTCGATGGTGCTCTCGGTGGCCACCCTGGGCATGACGGGCGTGCTCGCCTCCACCTCGGCCTCGGCCACGTCCCAGCCGGCCTCGGACGCGTCGCACGGCGTCACGCACGCGTCCTTGGCGTCCCTCACGGCGTCCTTGACCATGAAGAAGGTGCTGCCCTCGGCCTGCATGCGGTAGCCGTTGACGCGGAGGTCGGCCAGCGCCTCCAGGAACTTGCTGAGGCACTTGCCCGTCTCGTACACGAAGTGCAGCGGCACCGTCTCCAGCAGGCAGGTGGACCTGCCCAGCGAGCCGGAGATGTGCTCCGCCACCATGGAGAGCGTCGCCTCCGTCACGGGCCAGTCGTCCAGCGCGCAGGCAGCGATCTGGTGAAACGAAAAGACGTTCAAAATTAGCATGGTAAAGGTGCAAGGGCAAAAAACTCCACAATATTTAAACACCGAAATTCGTGAAATTTTGCCAAAATTAATAGAAATTCTTCAAAGCTCTGCGAATTTTACATCAAAATTCAAGCAACTTTGGCTGCAATTCATTGAAATCCATCCAAAATTCATGTGGCATTCTCAAATTTGTACTCTGAAATTCAAAGTTACTTCCTCTTGTAGAAGGTCAGGGTCCTCCGTTACTCAAAACCTCTCGATAACTTTCACAAAATTGAAAAGAGTTCAGGGAAGTCCAGAACATCAACGCAGATGATACTGATACATTCTTCTAACTCACTGCTTGGCGCCTCACATCCTGAGAGAACTAGCATGCTGACACATTATCTATACTTATTTCTGTTTTGCCATCATGTCTTTACGCACTCGTGTCAATCTTGTCAGAATGTCAGAAACCTGTCTGAAAGCCTGATCAAAATTTGCGCACCTCTGAAAGCTGGAAACACCTTCTGACATTCCGAAGAACTCAAACCATCAATATCAGAGTAATTTTTCAGAATTTCAGCTTTTAGAGGTGGGCGAATTTTGATCAGGATTTCAGACATGTCCCTGACATTCTGACAAAATTTACACGAGTGTGTATAGTGCATCATCTTCTAAAAATGTTCAAACTGTTACCTCGTCGCGCATGAGCCAGCGCAGCTCGAGCACCAGCTTGTTGACGGCGCGCTGCTGGTAGTCCGGCAGGTGGCCCAGCTGGTCGGCGGACAGCCGCTCCTCCATGGAGCTGAAGCTGGTCTGGCTCATGTTGGACAGCTGCTGCTGCAGCACCGGGGTGGTGGGAGTGGACAGGCCCGCCTGCTGCGGCTGCGCCACTGGCACCGACTGGGGCGTCTCCGTCAGCGACAGCGACTCTGGCTCTCGCGGCAGCGTCAGGCAGAGGATGTCCAGCGTCACCTGGAATGCAACAAGGAATTTAACACTCTGTAAACCTCGCAAACTATTTCAGATCTTACAAAGAAAATCAGCTTGTTATACCAAAGTATTTTGAGCATACAAAAGCCTACGAAGAAAATACTTCGTAGTTTACGAACTATTTTTTCAAATAACAAATGTGTGCTCAAAATACTTCATAAGGTTTTAAGCATGAATAAATTCATTGGGGTAGTTTTGGGACAGTGGGATAAAGTGAGACAATACTGAGACAATACCGCAAGATTAGACATTTTAGACCTCACTCTATAGCAAATGAGATGTTTTCATTGTGAAAATAACATTTGATAATGAGTGAGTTCCAGCTGTCCCATTTTTACCTATGTCCCAAAATCACCTCAAATAACCCTGATTTCAGGGAGTTTTCTGCAAAATTTATTATTGATGTGGGAACACTTGTGTAACAAAGGCATTCAAATTATGCCCTTGAAGGGCGTAAACGATTTACGCCCCTGGAGCGACGTGAATCGTTGATGCTCTTGGGAAGGGCATTAAAATTTTGCTTTCAAGTCCTATACCATTCACGCCCTTCCCAAGGGCATGAAACGATTTACGTTTAAAGGGCGTACAAGATTGTTTATGCGATTAAGCGCGTAATTATTATGCCTTTGTTTTATCAGTGCACGAGTGGAACGTAGAACTGCGGTTTTTCAGTACCTGGAAGCCTTGGCCGGCGAGCAGCGTGCTGGTGGGCACGGAGGCGCCGCTGCCGGTGCCGCTGCAGTTGTTGGCGACGCTGTCCTCCAGGCCGCGGGCGAGCTCGGTGACGCACGTGGGCAGCACCCGGCTGGCGTAGCTGGCCATGTCGCCGTGCGCGTGCACGGAGCACACCAGGTGCAGGAACAGCGGCGACACCTCCTCGGCGAGCTGGCCGTCGTCCACCACCTCGCTTAGCGAGTTGGAGTCCATGTTGGAGAGCAGCGAGGTGTGCGCGTCGTCGGGCGTGGCGAGCAGCACGCCGTCCCAGCCCGAGCCGGCGTGGCCGGGCCCGGCCAGCTGCGTCAGGTCCTGCGGCGGGTACAGGCCGAGGCCTTGGCCGAGGCTGCCCACGTGCATGGGGTCGTGCAGGGCGTGCAGCGGCACGTGCAGCGTGGACAGCCCGACGTGCAGCGGCGTGCCCTGGAGGCCCTGCAGGCCGCCCGGCAGCCCGCTGGGGAGGCGCTTGTGGTCCCAGCCGGGGCCCGCGCCCGCCGGCACGCAGTAGTGGAACTCGGGGTGCGTGGACACGGGGCGGAACGACGCGTGCAGGATGCTGCGGAACTTGTCCTTCATGAGGCGGTGCAGCAGCTTGAGCTCGTGGCAGTGCGCCGCGCCGCCGCCGCCGAGGTGGCCGCAGACCGTGTGCAGGAAGCGGGTGATGTCCACCTCCACGAGCGCCTCCTCGCACTCGTCGACGGCGGCCTGCACGTCCACGGCGTGCACGTGCAGGCTGCCGTGCAGCGCCTCGAACAGCGCCAGCACGAAGCAGCGCGAGTACGTCATGCTGACGGCGCGGCCCAGCTGCTGCAGCCCGGAGGCCGCGGCGTCCGTGGCGCCCGCGGGTCGCGGGGTGGTCGCCGCCCCCGCCGCCGCGTCCGGGGAGTCCACCTCGTCCAGCGGGCTCGCCGTCGGCGTGCTCGAGCTGGGGGCCGGCTCCGCGACGTCGCCGTCGGACACGGTGGAGGCCGCCGTGGTGGACGCCGCCGCCGGCGCGCCGCCCGCAGGCCAGTCCCACTTGAAGGTGCGGTCCTCGAAGATGTCGGCGGGGAGGTCCGCGCCGAGGTCCGCGCTGGGCGTCAGCGGGCAGTCGTACACGTAGATGGGCAGCGTGACGGAGCCCTCCAGGGTCTTGCCGCAGCCCGGCACGGCCGCCACGGCCGGCACGGGGAACGCCTTGACGGGCGTGCTGGCGTCCGCGTTGGGGGAGCCCAGTGTGTACGACGCCTGCGAGGAGATGGTGCGGCGCCGCGACGGCAGGCGCAGCTTGAGGTCGATGGAGCTGGAGCGCTTGCGGTGCATGGCCAGGCCCAGGCCGCTGTCGCCGCCGTCCTTGCGCAGGAACACCTGGCTGTGGCTGGCCGAGTAGCGCTTGTTCTTCGAGTCCATGGACTGCGTCCTGGTCCTGAACACGGAGCCCTCGCAGCTGACGGACCTCTCGTAAGCGGTGCGCTCCCAGTCGGCGGCGCCCGCCGTGGCCGCCCTGCCCTGCGCGCCGGCGGCCACCGCCCCGGCGGACGCGGACGCCGACACCGAGGCGGATGTGGAGGCCGTCGTCATCCACTGCGACAGCGGCGACGACTCCGCCGTGGTCACGGGCGTCACGGGCGTGCCGGTGCCCGTCAGCACCACGGGGCTGGGGTCGGCGGACGCGTCCACGGACGTGTCGGCGGCCGCGTCGGCGGACACGTCCAGGCTGGGGCTGCCCAGGCTCAGCTTGCACGGCTTGGCCTTGGCGCCCATGGAGCTGGTGCGGCCGCGCTTCCCGGCCAGCGAGGACGCCGCCGACCCCGTGCCCGACTGCGACTTGGGGTCCCAGGACGCGGCGCGCATGCGGAAGGGCGAGTCGAGCAGCGGCGACACGGACGAGGCCTCCGCCTCGGTGGAGCGCAGCCGCCGGGAGAAGTGGTTCAAGAGGAACGCCGAGTCGCAGGACTGCTGCTGCTGGCTGGCAGAGGCGGCGGAGGCACTGGCTGAGGCACTGGCTGAAGCAGGCGTGTGCGGCGTGGCGGGGGTGACCGGCGGCAGCGGGGTGGCGGGGGCCTCGGGCGTCCCCGTCACCACGTGCGAGAGGCCGCCGTCGAAGCAGTCGGTGTCGAACTGGAGGCAACAAGACAACACGTAAGTTAAATGGAATTTGTAGACACCTGCACTGAAAATTAATTGGGTACTGAGTGCTCAATTAGTACTTAAGTGCTCGATGTGTGTACTCAGTACACACTCAAGTGCTCGATGTGTGTACTCAGCACACACTTAAGTTTTCAGTGCGCGCAATTTTCTTTTTTGAAAAGTGTGGGACTTACAGTGCTATTTTGCTGAGCTAGTAATTTGACCCCTGGGTGCCTGTCCAGGTTCTGGTTTGGAATCATGATGGCCTTGAGGTCAGCGAAGCTGGCTGGCACCATGGTGAGCAGAACTCGGTTGGGACTAGTTCGACGTACAAAGCAGCGCCAATTTCCTCCTTTGCCAGGCTTGGTGTCTGCAAGATCTAATAAAATCAAACAGAAGTGTGATTAAATTTTTTTTAAAAAGAATTATTTGAAGTGTTGGAGAGGGAATGCATACCTGGCAATGGCAGTGGTGGCGCAACTGATGGTCGACTGCGTTTCCTCAAATGATCCAAAAACCTTTCGGAGTCTTCCTCGTTAAGTGGGAGCTCCCTGTCGTGCAAAACACTCAGCTGATCCATCATAATGCTGAGAAGCATCTGGTTGGGTGCATCGGGGTTCTGCTCGACAGCTCCATTGACTGTTGCACCACCAACGGCAAGATCTACAACACCAGGAAAAATATTGTTCCGTTAAAATCTCTTCTAGTGAGACATTGAGTTCAAATGTGAGAAATTCTATGCAAACTTTCACCCATCAAGTTTACCTTGGATAAACATTGAAAACAAAAGCTCTGCTTGTTGACAATGAGGAAGTAAGCTTGTTAAGTTGTACGCAAAGGGAAGACATTGAATCCTAGTTTCAGCCCATACAGCAGCCTCCTTGGGAAACCTAGAGAGAATAAATTGTAAGCATTTTAAGCATAAGCATAGCCACCAAGACAATTAATTGTGGAGTTAACAACTAAAAAATTTAAGAAATTCTAGAGTCATTGTTTACTAACTCTGACAAAACTTGAGCAGCATCACATGATGGTGGAGGATGCACATGTCCTTGTTCACACATGAGTCGAACATGTTCCATCGTAAGAAGCGAAGATATACACTGAGCATCCACTTGGCATATCTGGACAGCACAATTTGTGGGGTAAGTTATTATAATTTGCGTCAGGAAAAGAACAAAACAATTATTCCTCACTTACAGCATCTGCAATACGGAAGTAGCGCAGCCCATTCATATAAGATCGTTGAGGGGGTGAGTTGGTAACCTTGCCATGTTGCGGCTCAACCCAACACTCCATCACAAGCTGCATTTCTCCATCTTCATTCACATCACCATCATCTACTCCTTCGTCCTCAGAACCACTACAAGAAGGCAAAAAAATTCATCCATATGGTTTCAAGCTAAGTACTTTCAGTAGAAACAATTCTGACTAAACCATACCTGTCCTTCATGCTGGTATTGGCAACATGTGGAGGAAAAAGAACATACTGCACGACACAGAACTGAGGCGGGTTCTTTTCATCTCCACACTCTTGCTGCTAAAGAAATAATTTGGAAATTTTCAATTTTTTTTTTCTCAATGAGTAATACTAGAAAATGGCCTAGCTCATAAGTGTAATAAAAAAAAAAAAAGTTATTGACAAACCTTCATTTCAACTTCCAAGACCAAGTTGATGATTCCTGCAGTTGAATGGGCAAAGCTAAACCCTTCTTTTAATCTTGTTCTAAAGAAAAGAAGAAAAAAAAGGTGAGGCAAAAAAGTTTAGTAAAATTAGCAAAGCATGAAGATGGTGAGGAACAAATGTTTTACAGGACTTACTTGGTAAGAGTTGCTAGAATCCTTGCAATTGACTCCTGTGCAAGTGGAAAATGAGGGCTACTCTGTGCTGCCCAAACCCAACGGCGATGATGAAGGTACCGAGAAAGCGTTGTCAAGAGTGACCCAGAGCCAGCTGTGATGGCATTACCGCTATAAGCAGGTAACGCAGGCTGCGTTCCGTCTGGAAAGACTACAGTGTCCAGTGAAGACGGCATGCGCTCATACCTGTTTGAAATTTAAAAATTGCCTGTTATTCAAAGACTTTAAGCATATTCCTTTGAGAGAACAAAAAAGACAAAGAAACTTACCTGATCAGGATTTTGTCAACAGGTTTGTGAAGCAACAGGCAACAACTAGCACTAGTATTGGAAGAGGGTCTCTGGGGAAAGGTGAGTGCCTGAATTTTTTCAGAAAGTTGTTCTACCATCTGTAGGGACACATGAATAGAGAGGTATTAACAATATATAATACTGTATTAATAATACTGTGATAAAAACAAATTCTGACCTGATATCTGAGATCAGATGGGGCTCCACCAAGAAAGGCCAGCTGCACCACAACACAAGGTGGCTTAGAAGTGGCTCTTATTAGAAAAAACCATGAAGATGATGGATCTTTTGACACTCTACAAGCAGATGAAAATTTTAAAAATTAATATTCCAATGTAAGTCTTTGAAGGTAAAAAAAAATGGCAATTCGTACATACCCTGGCACAAATTTCACATAAGAGTGGTTGTCAATTAGTACAAAAGAGCTCCAGTCCTTCAGCAAAGCATAAAGTGACAGTGCTGCATGTCGGCACTGAACAACCTGGTAAACACGTTTATAAATTTATATTGACCATAGAACCTTTAAAATAAATTTAGATAACAAGTGTCTGTTAAAGGACAAACCTGATAACGGCCACTGTTGTTTGGTAAATGAAGGTATTGAGGAAGTGGCATATCATGACGGAGCAGAAGAACAAGATTGTGGGTGTGAAGCCATCGCTGCCACATTGCCGGATCCAAACGGGTGAGAGGTTGCCAAAATTGGGCATACTGTTGACAACTTGGGTCTCTGGAAAATAAGGCGACAGTTTGATGACAAAGAACAATAAAAAGCAAGGTCAAACATATGTCCGTGCTCACCTAGGTGCAAGAATAGGCAGTGTTTTGGGATCAGACAAAGAGGGAGCATAAAAAAGGGGCAGCCCACTCCTCACAAAATCAGGTGGCGTTGAAGCAGCTGACCCAAGAGAGTGCAAGTGTATTAGCAACTGGTCAGACTGTCCCAATATTTTGAGCGTGTGCCAAAATCGAGTAACAACAAGCTGCCGGTATGGTGAACCAAGAGGCTTCTTCATCAAACACGTGATGTCATGCAGAAATTCATATGGTGCTACAACAAAATCAGACAGTCAGCATAAATTTTTTTTGCATAGGACATGACACACAGTACAGAAAAACTTTAATGAGTTTGCAGTGTGAGCAGCCCTACCTTGAATAGAGAGAGAGTAATGAACAGGGTACCCCCCCGGCCAGGGCGATGTCACTTTGTAGTCAAGATATATGTGAGAATTCCATGCTTGGACCAGGTTCAGTTCAACTTGGCCATCTTTCATGCATACCCCCTAAAATGCGGAATAAACAATTAGCAAAGGCCACATAATTTTGTTAAGGTATCAGTACATAGTATTACCAGAAAAACTACAAACTTTGACTGTATATCCTTGGTGTAATCTGCAGCATAGAAGGCTATGCAGTGATATGTTGAGTTTGTCCTCTGCTTGCTTCTTTGACAATAGCTGAGGTTCATGGCGTCCATAAAACAGGTGGTTGCTGCGCAGAAATAAAGAATTTTCATAAAAAGAAATCAAACAAACTGAATAATTGTTTGTTAAAATGTTTTTTGTTAGTACCTGACATGCCACTCTCCTTCTTGAGGCAAAGGTGTGTTGAACTCATAGCTCGGCCGTTTGAATGACCAGGTAAGGAAGGCTTTGTGGTAGAAATTCATACTCATTGGTTCTGATACAACCTGAAAAAGAGAAAAGGAACAATTTAAATGTTGTGTTCACCAAAATATTTGATGAAGGTACTGTAATAAATTTCCCCATCAAAAGTACCTACCTCACCCGGATTGGTGACAAATGAGCCTTGAGTAGCACTGGCAAGATATTGCAGTAGATCTCGGTAAGGCACCAAGCCTGCACTACACTGGGGATGGAACCTACTACCCAGATGAATGAAAGAACAGGCTACGGCATTTGCTCGAAGTTGAGTAACAACAGAGTCCAGAACTTTCACATCTGGTGTAGCTATTACTCCGTCTGTGAGAACGACTAAATCTACAGAAAAAAGAAAAGTTTGCATCTAAACGATCTCTAACCAAAGAGAGGCACTTAAGTAATCAGAGACTTACTGGAAGAACTGCAGTCTGGAAGTAGTCTGAGGGCCAGAAGGCCATACCGAAGCATGTTTATAAAACCAGCATCGGGGCTAACCATAGGAATATTAACAACACCAATTGATGGAGCATGACTTTCAGAGTGCTCCTCTTCAAATAAATCCCCAACTAAACGCTCTGATTCAGCCTGAAAGCATTAAAAAAAATTATAAGAAAAAGTGGGACAGAAAAAGACACAATTTAGCCAAATTGAAGAAAAATTTCTACGCCTTACCCTCATGGCATCAAGCTGTTCATGAGCTGACCTAGTTACATCAGCCACGACATCCTCTAACATGATAAGTTGAGACTCAATACAAGCTAATAAGTCCTTTACATTATGTGGGGTAACTCTCCACCCTTGAACTAGTACCTGAGTGAACAAAAACAAAACATTAACATCCTTTACCTGGGAGTGTCGGCAATAGACTTATAAAATGGTGGCATTTTACCTGTTGTGCAGGTGTAGCAAAAAAAGGCGTATGTGCTATGACTGTCACATAAATATCTGGCTGAAATTTTAAACAGGAGCCTGGTATTGTAAACTGGAAGAAGAGAAAAAGTAACATTATACAAAGGAACCCAGTTAAAATATGATGTTAAGCTTTTCCTAATATACTTACAGGTTTTATCATGCCTTCAACACTCCTTCTAAATGCAGTCAACGTCTCATCAGACATAACTTCACCATGTTGAATATCCTAGAAAATATTGATTGTATTAAAAAGATGGCACAAAGAAGCTAGCATGAAATATAACCATATAGTTGACCCTTACCACTGCTGATACAGATGGACTCATATCTAGACAAAAGGCAAATCTATATCTGTGGGTAAGGAACACAACAGATGACTGGGCAGTGACAAGGTAGCGGTAGCAATGACTAACTTCTGGCCTCCACCCACTGGGTGGCTCAACAGGCAAAACTGAGACAATCCTCAGATCAGCTGTTTCATTATCCTGTAAAATTCAAGACATTAAGAACTTTCAAAAAATTGAAAAAAATTACCAATTAATGAAAAGTACAAACCAAGTCCTGTTGGGCCGATGGTGGTGGCAGGCAAATTAAAGTGTTGAGGTGGTCCAAATACCACTGTACCCGTAAATTACAGGACACATGGTATTTTTTTCTCATCAACAGGTAGATTATATCTGCTTTGAGGACATTGTCCTCCTGCAAAAGAATTTTTTTAAATGATGAGACACACGCCAAGCAACAAACAAAACTAAAAAGCACAAAAATGATCAACAATTGGCATGATGTAAGCAAACTAGTCTCACAAATAACTCAATTTTGGAAAGTTCTCAAGTTTTACAGAATTTCTGAAAAAAATGTATTAAGAACTTTTTTTTTTAAATAAATAAATAAATAAATAAATAAATAGTTGAATACAAATGCTGGTAGCACATCACTGTTTTCATGTCACATCTTAGCCCATAGGTTTAAATGTGAAGGAAGTGTCCTTCACTCAAGTGGGTGTTTCAGTCACAAAGACCATCGGTGTCTCCATTTTTACAGAGGAAGGGAGCTTTACTGATGAAAGTGAGCGATTATTTCAGGCGTTTATCCAAGGCACCAAACTTGGAAGAAAAGGGCAATGAACTAAGGTCTGTGAGCAAAACATGCATCCTTGGTGACAGAAACATGGGAAAGTCTTTCACCTTGAAAGCAAACGAACACAGCATTATTTGACACGTCTGTGTCATAGATGCTTTTGCAAGACGCAGTGGGAAAAACGATGATGACAAATAACACATGGCATTAAAAGAAATTGAGCAAATCGAGGACCACTCCGTTTGTTTACATCTGTGTCTGCAGGTAGTGCCATAACCTAAACTCACTCACCTCCACTGGTTGTCTGCGTTTGTCCGCCATACCTAATATCACAGATCATTCAATTGGTTTGGACATCTAAATTTATATCAACTACGACCATATTGACGGAGGGGTGTTTCCCGGGGCAGATGTACTTTGCTCTATGTTGTGCGTCGTTGTTTTCATCAGCTGTTTCTGCTCCATTCCTGGGTGTGTTCTTTAGACCCGTCCCGTGTTCTGCCTGTGCTCTCCGTGCCCATAGGTGGTCAGTCTATGTTTGCACATGTCGCCCGGACAGTAAACAAATGTCGTGAAGTTTACCATTTTTGTGCGGTTTCTATTCGTTATACGCCGTATTTTTGCGTAACATGGTTTCCTGCGCGATTCGTCACTGTCGCAATACACCATACCTTAGAAAAATCGACCCAACAAAGAGGCACTTGCGATTTTTTCTAATTCCAAAGTCAAAGTCGACATGCGAATTGACAGCCAAACGGTTCAAGAAACGCCAAGATTTGTGGCTCCAAGCCATAAACCGCCCCGAAATCACCGCTGAAATGATTCAAAAAGGAAAATGTTACGTATGCAGTGACCATTTTATATCAGGTAGTTCAGTATGACTTTATATGTGCATGTGTGCCTGTTCGGTCACTATTATGTACAAATCCCTTTTTTTTTGTACTGTTTAGGCTCGCCGTCAAATAAGTACTTAGAGGATAGCGAAGACTGGATCCCAACAAAGAACCTGCACACTACTCCTGAGCCAGTTCAGGCAGCTGATGAGAATGGAAGCAATGCTAATGACGTTCAAAATGATGAGCAGGAAAGCACCTTCATGGATTCTTCGTCTTCCATGCTAAATTCGTCTGGTTTTCATCCATTGGAAGAATCTCTTACTGACATGTATGATACCTGTCATGAAAATGTTAGTGTGGAATTCCAAACGCCTACTTCTTCAACTCAAAAGAAAACCCCTACTTCTGCCACGCAAAGATTGCAGGATCGTTTGACTGACTGTGAGGTTGACACCTGTCATGAAAATGTTAGTGTGGAATTCCAAAGGCCTACTTCTTCAACTCAAAAGGAAACCCCTACTTCTGCCACGCAAAGATTGCAAGATCGTTTGACTGACTGTGAGGTTGACATACAGGAGCTACTAGCTAAAAATGAAAAACTGGAGAAGGAAAATGAGGACCTCAAGGAGGAGCTTGCAGCATTGAAGGAGAGACTCTATGAAGAGATAATGAAACGGCGGAAAATTGAGAGGGAGTCCTCTGTCAAGATGTCTAAACTCGCTCGACAGATTACAACAAAGTGAACGTCCACCCTGAAGACCATTTTGCAGAAGCGGACTTCCCTCATCCTCTGAACCCCTCATTTATCTCATATATTTTGTTTTAACTATTGCTTCTGGAAAGCTTTTACAAAAATTTAATTAAAATATTGCAAAAATTTGACGAAATTTACTACTGTGTTTAATTTGTTGTTTGATGTTTGTCTGGCAAACGAAAAGATCATTAGACCTCATACCGTTATATACTTTCACCAGGGTTCCCTTTGTGAGGTTTATGAGCAAGCAGGGCCGGTTTTAACCATGCATAGATGAAGGAAAGGAGAATAAAGTGCTCGAGCACTTTATTTTAGCTCACGAACTACAATAAATATATTGCTATTTATTTTTCATTTTACAAATTAGAATTAGTTTAAGAAAGCATACTGTACATGAAAATTCAAAAGGATGCGCCGATAAATGAACTCATTTAGTGGATTGTGGCTGATAAACATAACAGTCTCTTGCTTCTAGAAAGAACAATTTCGACTGCACCATTCAGGACAATATATACACTCGACTAACATAGTCATTTACAATGCAATAATGTGCTTTCTACAGAGTAAAGTTCTAAATCAACAACTAAATGCTTTTTTAATCATAAGTACACAGGATCTGGACTAGAAATTTGGTCAGATAACGGTACATACTCAAAACATTTTCAGGTACATAAAATATTCACATTAAGTTAAATTAACTTCTCCACGAACGGAGATGCTAAGAATACAGGAAATATGAGTCAACGACCCCGGAGACGTTGGAGAGTGCGGCGAAGGAAATGCAACCCGACAAGGTTCAAACATGACGACAGGACGATTGCGAACGTTACAGCCTCATCAGGAAAAGGCAATTGCAACAAATTGCAGAGTCCCGCACCATTCAGTTTTATTTACAATTTCAAGGGACGAATAGGAGGCGTAGGAAAACTAGGGCCTTGAGTTGGAGTCCCTCCTCGCCAAGTGATCAACCTGCAGACTGATTCCGAGAGTCGTTTTCGCCGCTCTGTCTCCCTCGCACTCTTGAGGCGTCCCGCATAGGTGCGAGAGAGACAGAGCGACGAAAACGACTTTCGGAATCAGTCTGCAGGCCTTCCCTTCGCGCGCGGGTGTGGGGTCACCGTGCTGTCGGGTCGGGTCGCCAGCGTGGTGCGGCGCTACCCCGCGCGTGTCGCGTCGAGGGGTATGCCCAACTCCGCCTCCGAGACCGGCACCGGCGGCCAAAACTCAAGACGCGTTTTGAGCTCCAGAGCCGCTTAATAGGACTCGAACCGAACGTGTAACCCCACCAATGGATTCCTCGTTCGGAGAGCAATCCATCGGTAGGGTCACACGTTCGGTTCGAGTCCCATTCAGCGACTCTGGAGCTCAAAACGCGTCCGGGATTTTGACCGCCTCCACCGGTCTTCTGGCCCACAGTGCTCCGCTTGGAAGTCCCGCAGAGCCCCGCTCAAATACACGTCTCCCCCAGCTGCTGCAGGCCGCGCGGCCCGGCCGACGTGACGGCGGCGTCCGCGGGGAGTCCGCGAGTGAGCGGCGCCGTGGCGGCCATGCCGGCCACGCCGCCCGTCTGCTTCCTGGCCATCTTGAGCATCAGCACCTTGGGCCACTTCCGCGACACCTTGCCGACGGCGCCCACGGCGTACACGCGCGGCTTGCGGTGCGCCGGCGAGATCATGACGACGAGCTCCGAGCCGCCGTCGGCGTCCTCGGCCGGCGCGCCCTCCACGGCCGTGGCCAAGGGCGTGGCGGCCGCGTCCAGCGGCGCGCACTGCGTGGCCGGCCCGTTGTCCTTCCAGTGCGGCTCCAGGACGCCGCCGTTCTCCTGGAGCGGGGCGCACTGCGTGCCGCACTGCGTGGCGGCGGGGCTGGGCGCCGGGCTGGGCGGGCTGGGGCTGGGCGCGGCGTGCGGCCGGTGCGCCGGGTACCACCGGTTGCCGCCGGACCCCATCCCCGCGCCGTTGCCGCCGCGCTGCCACTTGACCCCGTTGCCCTCGCCGAACTGCAAGCAGAGCCAAGGGCCGTCTTTCATCCTGTTTCATTTCCTGCCAGTCTGAAAAGCGATGCCGTTGCACAGTGGGCCGGAGGATCAGTGGAGGCAGCCAAAACTCGAGACGCGTTTTGAGTTCCAGAGTCGCCAAATGGGACTCGAACCGAACGTGCGACCCCACCGATGGATTGCTCTCCGAGCGAGGAATCCATTGGTGGGGTCACACGTTCGGTTCGAGTCCCATTTAGCGACTGTCGAGCTCAAAACGCGTCTGGAGTTTTGGCCGCCTCCACCGGTCTTCGGGCCCACTGTGCGTCGCCATCCGTGGAACCAAAGCGCACTTTAGCACCACTTTCTTCAAGCGCAGTGGCTCTCGGCTCCACCCATCTCAATGCACGGGAGAGTTTCTTTCATACGCTCAAAATTAAGTGAAAAGTCTCCGAGCGTACGCTGCATGCTTGACACTGGTGCGCAATGCGTTTCAAAAGGCATTACCCTTCATAGGCGCAAAAGACTGTTATAGTCACAGGCAGCGGCGAGTGGGTTCAGGGGGCTCATGACCCCCCCCCCTCCGGCCACTAAACAGCCGCCGGGAAGGTAGGATAATTGCGTCACTATCCCCCTGTAAGTAGGCAATAAGCATGGCCCCCTCCAAAATTTCTGCGCACGCCAATGGTCACAGGGCTGAGTTTTTAAGCCATTGTTGTACCAGTGTGAAGCGTACAACTACGCTTCGGGTACGCTGCGCTACCAGCAAGCAAGGGTACAGAGGGGAGGGAGGCAAAGGGGTTTTTGTGCCCCACTCCCCCCAGCTCCAGAGTCGGGAAACAGAACTCGAACCGAGCGTGTGACCCCACCAATGGATTCCTCGTTCGGAGAGCAATCCATTGGTGGGGTCACACGTTCAGTTCGATCCCTATATAGTGACTCTGGAGCTCAAAACGCGTCTAGAGTTTTGGCCGCCTCCACCGGTCTTCTGGCCCACTGTGCGTCGCCTCGCGGGCCGCGGGCGCTCACCTGGTGCACCGAGGTGTCCCGGAAGCTGCTCTGCTCCCGGAAGGCGCCGCGCGTCACGGTGGACGACACGGACAGGCCGCCGCACAGCGTCTCCTTGAACGCCATGCGGTACTTGACGGACATGAGGTTGTACAGGATGGGGTTCACGGTGGAGCCGAAGAAGTACAAGCAGCCCGTGATGTAGTACAGCCAGGCGTTGATCTCGGCGTAGTGCGGCAGGTTCTGGCCGTACAGGAAGAGGAGCCGCTGGGAGTGGAAGGGCGCCCAGCACAGGAAGAAGGCGATCACCACGGCACCTGCAACGAACCACGGGTCAGAACAACAGCACACAGTGGGCCAGAAGACCGGTGGAGGCGGACAAAAGCCCACACGCGTTTTGAGCTCCAGAGTCGCTAAATGGGACTCGACCCGAACGTGTGACCCCACCAGTGGATTCCTCGTTCGGAGAGCAATCCATTGGTGGCGTCACACGTTCGGTTCGAGACCTATTTAGCGACTCCGGAGCTCAAAACGCGTGTGGGCTTTTGTCCGCCTCCACCGGTCTTCTGGCCCACTGCGCCTGCAGCAACATCAACAACAAAAACACTTGTGCATGGCACATTGCGCCTGAAGCGTGACAGCATGCACACTTCAACGAGCAGCGCGCTTGGACGTACACTGTTCCTAAAGCTGTTCCCAGCAGTTTCACTGACCGGAACTGCATGCTGCGAGGCACGCGCTTCGGACCAGTGTGCTGCCAAACTGGCAAAACTGCCCACGATGCGCCAGTGTCGGAAGGGTTGCCAACCTCAGCGTGCAATATCTCGACTTTGCTGTCGAGGAGTTGCTGAGTATGCAGGCTGAGGCTGGCAACCCTTTCGACAAAGGCACATAGTGGGAACTTTCGCCTTTGTGGTAGGTCGTTGAAGTGTGCATGAGGGCACGCACGCACAGTGGGCCAGAAGACCGGTGGAGGCGGCCAAAACTCTCGACGCGTTTTGAGCTCCAGAGTCGCTAAACAAGACTGGAACCGGGTGGCAACGCTACCAAGGCCTGCCGGCCGGCAACGCTCCTGCAGAGCGCCTGTGAACGGCAGGGTAGGCAGGCCGCTCCACACGCGTGTCCGCAAGTCGAGGATGTTGCCTACCTGCAAGGCGCTCTCCACGCGCTGCGAGCGGGCGGAGCTGGCGCACAGTGGGCCAGAAGACCGGAGCAAGCGGCCGAAGTTCCGGACGCGTTATGAGCTCCAGAGTCGCTAAATGGGACTCGAACTGAACGTGTGACCCCACCAATGGATTGCTCGTTCGGAGAGCAATCCATTGGTGGAGTCACACGTTCGGTTCGAGTCCCGTTTAGCGGCTCCGGAGCTCAAAACGCGTCTGGAGTTTTGACTGCCTCCACCGGTTTTCTTGCCCACTGTGGCACGCTCCATGTGTAGTGTGACGTAGTGCGACTGTTTACTTTAGAACAGACTAAACCTAGTTAGTTGCGGTGCCATTCCGTGTCACTTCGCGTCACTCCGAGTCACTTCGCGTCACTCCGTGTCACTCCGTGTCACTTCGCGTCACTCCGTGTCACTCCGTGTCACTTCGCGTCACTCCGTGTCACTCCGTGTCACTCCGTGTCACTCCGTGTCACTCCGAGTCACTCACTGAGCATGCGAATGATGGCCTTCCGCGACTGCGTCTGCTTGTTCTCGCTGTGGATGACGCCCTCGACGCGCTTGCCCAGCGAGTGCCTGCCCCTGGAGCGGATCTTGGAGCCGATGCGGCCGTAGATGGCCACCATGACGAGCATGGGCAGCAGGAAGAAGAGCAGCGAGGACGTCTCGAACACCATGTACGAGTCCAGCATGGTGCAGAAGGCCGACTCCTGCGCCACCACCCCGGACCCTGCAGGTTTAAAACAAACACAGCAATTAAAAACACGTTGGAAAAAAAAAACAAAAAAAAAAAAACAAGGGACAAAAAAGTATTTCTTAAATACTAGGACGTAAATAAATCGACAGTTTAAAGATACATAAAAAAGGCAAGAAAAAATTACCCCAAAAACAGTGAGTGCAAAAAAACAAACAAACAAAAAACAACACTCTTCTATTTTTTTAAGTGTGTGGCTGCAGGCACGCTGTTCTAAATAGTGTGCCTGCCAGGAAAACACTTTAAAACAGCGTGCTTGACAGAGACGTGTGCCTCTATGCACACTGTTTAGAGCAGCTTAGAGCAGTGTCCACACAGAAAAAAAAATACTCCTAAAATAGTTAGAGCTTTTTTTTTTCAAAGTAACAGTTTTCAACTTTAAAAAACCAAAACTGAGGCATGAAAAAAGTTGCTTCTGGAACAGTTGGGTCCAACTTGCCGATGGGCCACTCGAGGTAGTGCACGGTGGAGAGCACGGCGAAGGGCAGCGCGGCGATGAAGGAGACGATCCAGAGCACGGCGATGATCCGGACGGCGCGGCGCAGCCCGGACATCCGGTAGCTGTGCAGCGGGTGGCAGATGGCCAGGTAGCGCTCCAGCGAGAAGGCCACGATGGTGAGCACCGACGTGTACGACGTCCTGGGCAAAGGAGGGGAGAGTCAAGCCTCGTCCAACTCGGGCACAGTGTGCCAGAAGACCGGTGGAGGCGGCTCAAGTTCTAGACGCGTTTTCAGCTCCAGAGTCGCTGAACAGGACTCAAGGGGGGCTGACTCCTATAATACTTCGTACACAGCCCTATAATACTTGAATAATACTATAATCCATAATACCAAAAAATGCCGCACATTTTGTGCAGTTTTGGTTTTAAAATGAGAAAGTTGTGTAAAATTGTGGAGAACAAGCGTTCAGAGATTTCTAGACGGAACGTTAGAGTAAGAAAATGGCGCTGAGAGAAATGACTTGGTGCTGAGGCTCTTAAAGATGCGCTGTATAATAATTTGAGGCTCAGGAGCGCGAGCCGGAATCCTTGTTTTCAACTTGCTTGCGTATTTTGGAAACCTTTGGTATACGGAAAACCACTTACGACACAATTATCTGGATAAAATATTTGGAATAATACCTATAATACTCTATAATACCTATAATATATAATACTTCGTACACGGTTCGGGAGAGTCAGCCCCCCTTGACAGGACTCGAACAGAACGTGTGACCCCACCAATGGATCCCTCGTTCGGAGAGCAATCCATTGGTGGGGTCACACGTTCGGTTCGAGTCCCATTTAGCGACTCTGGAGCTCGAAACGCGTCTGGGATTTCGACCGCCTCCACCGGCCCTCTGTGTAACTTGAGGACTCACATCTCGGAGACGAGGGCGCGGAACTTGCAGAGCACCTCGCCGTAGGTCCACGGGTACTGCTGCCAGTAGACGCTCAGCTCGTACGGCAGCCCTGCAAGCATAAAAAAGATTCATCCGTCAGAACTCGTAGAAAAAAAGTACGGAAAATGTCTGGTCAACAATCTATCCGGAGCGTCCGAACTTCATCAAACTACAGAAGATCCGTACAGGTTTTCTGTACATATTTACTTGAGATTCTTACGAAGGCCAGACGGTAAAAACGGTTCTCGGTTTTCTAAGGAACTCCCTGGAAACAGCCTATGTCTTTGCCAAGCGCTTCCTGGGATAACCAGGAATCGTTTTTACCGCACACGGAGAACCTGTGCGGCGGTTCCAAACATTTTCCGAACCCGTTCTCTGTATAATTTCCGTATCAGAGCACAGCATTATTTTTTACAGTGAGCTTCACTTCACGAAGCGGACTGCGCAGAACAATGTTCGCCGTACAACACAGAAAACGAGCGTCCCGGATGAGTTTTACCGCGCGCCGCGGGCAAAGAAATGTCTACCGGGTTATTGGAGGCACGCCGAGGCACGGGCGCACAGTGGGCCAGAAGGCCGGCGGTGGCGGTCAATATCTCGGACGCGTTTTGAGCTCCAGAGTCGCTAAATGGGACTTGAACCGAACGCGTGACCCCACCAATGGATTCCTCGTTCGGCGAGCAATCCATTGGTGGGGTCACACGTTTCGTTCGAGTCCCATTTAGCGACTCTGCAGCTCAAAACGCGTCCTGGATTTTCACCGCCTCCGCCGGTCTTCTGGCCCTTTGCGCACCGCCTGCGGCTCCTTTCCGCGGTGTGGGTACCTGCGTATCGAGGATTACAAACAGTCTCCCGGCAGTCCCGGCTCATCCCTCAGGGGGTGGGGGGCCTGGGGGACCCCGCGTCTCGTCTGGGACGACCGGCCTCGCCCCGGCCAGCCCTTCCAGCAGACTGATTCCGAGATTCGTTTTCGTCGCTTTGCCTCTCTCGCACTCAGGCGGCGTCCGCTGTAGGCGCGAGAGAGACAGAGCGACGAAAACGACTCTCGGAATGAGAACGTCCTCCGGCCTCCCACCGCCAAACAGCGCAGAGACAGGGCGAGACAGGGCGGGTGAAAGCTAGGGGCCGTCGACATTTGCGACTTTTCGATTTTGACAACGGAATAGCACTCAAAAGTTGCGTTTTTTAATGCTGATTTCAGATCTGTCCTCGGTTTTGCGATCAGACAAAGCTTTGATGACCCTACCGGCCGTTTTATGCCAAAAAGCGGTGTTTTTCATGTTTCTACTGTGTTAAGGCTCCCGGACAGCCTCCACGTCGTCGGCCAAGGTAGGTGACCGTTGAGTTGTCTTCAGTAGCATAAAAGACAACACTCTGAGCCACGAGGGGTCGTGGGTCACCCCTCTAATGTGCCAAAGACCTGAAAAACTGATTTTTTTTGGTCGAAAATCACTCAATTTTTACCATTTTTTCACCGTTTATCGACTATTGCGAGAGCCCACGGGCCCGAGGTCATAACTTACGCAGACCAAAAGGTGTCACTGGGTATAAGAAAGGTCACCCAGCCCCTGCCCGGGCCCGGGGAGGCGCTGGGGCAGCGAGAGAGGCGGTGTCGAATACGTTCAAAATGACCAAAATCAGCTGATCGGCCGCCTGGGACATGCTGTGTAGGGGATGGGAGCGTGTCGCCGCGCCGGTCACGACGCTTCGCCCGCTGCCCGCCCAGCCGGCCTGCTAGCCAGCCGGCCTGCCAGCCCGTCGGCACTGCGTAAGACTGCAAGAGGGACAGAGCGACAGGAGCTGCAGGGCGGGCAGGCTGAAAGCGTTTCCGAAGAATCCATCGCTGCCTCTGTCGCACCCCGGAGGCAGAGCGACGGAGTGCTGCTGGCACGTGTTGAGTTTGAGTTGCCTAGGCACAGTGAGGCAAGGCGTCAGAGTCGGCGGTGACCGCTGCAAGCGTCGTGCCAGCCTGGCATGGTCGACATGAGCCCCGATGGCCTGAGCCCCGGCCGACCCCGACTTGAGCGCCGACACGTAGGGATGGGCACTTTATGCAAATAAAAACACCGAATTATGCGGTAAAATTTTGTGGTATTATGCGGCACTTATGCGACTAAAATGCTCCAAAAATGCGCTTTTTATGCGCAAAAACCCCTTTATTTCTGCAAAAAATGCAAAAGAGGGGCAAAAGTTGAAAAAGAGGGGAAAATGCACCAAAAGGGTTAATTTTTAAACAAAACAAAATGGTCACAGTTAAAATTTTACTGTGAATATATTAAAAACTTTGATCAGTGGGAACGCAACCAGCCAACCCTCCTCCACTGACAACCTGCACCGCGCGAAAAATTCAAATTCTAACTTGTGTTTCTGCTTTAAAACTTCTAAAAACACGATAACCGACCGAAACGCTTTCAGCCTGCCCGCCCTGCAGCTCCTGTCGCTCTGTCCCTCTTGCAGTCTTACGCAGTGCCGACGGGCTGGCAGGCCGGCTGGCTAGCAGGCCGGCTGGGCGGGCAGCGGGCGAAGCGTCGTGACCGGCGCGGCGACACGCTCCCATCCCCTACACAGCGAGGGGGTAAACACTTCACTAAATCGTGTACAGACTACTCGGTATTACGCTGTATTACGGGTGTATTACACGTGTATTACGGCCCTAAAATGCCAAAATTTGGCACATTTGACCCAAAAATGGTATTACGATCACGTGTATTACGCGTAATACACGGTTTTTGTGTACAGGGTATTACGCGAGTGGTTACCCCCTCGCTACACAGCATGTCCCAGGCGGCCGATCAGCTGATTTTGGTCATTTTGAACATATTCGGCACCGCCTCTCTCGCTGCCCCAGCGCCTCCCCGGGCCCGGGCAGGGGCTGGGTGACCTTTCTTATACCCAGTGACACCTTTTGGTCTGCGTAAGTTATGACCTCGGGCCCGTGGGCTCTCGCAATAGTCGATAAACGGTGAAAAAATGGTAAAAATTGAGTGATTTTCGACCAAAAAAAATCAGTTTTTCAGGTCTTTGGCACATTAGAGGGGTGACCCACGACCCCTCGTGGCTCAGAGTGTTGTCTTTTATGCTACTGAAGACAACTCAACGGTCACCTACCTTGGCCGACGACGTGGAGACTGTCCGGGAGCCTTAACACAGTAGAAACATGAAAAACACCGCTTTTTTGCATAAAACGGCCGGTAGGGTCATCAAAGCTTTGTCTGATCGCAAAACCGAGGACAGATCTGAAATCAGCATTAAAAAACGCAACTTTTGAGTGCTATTCCGTTGTCAAAATCGAAAAGTCGCAAATGTCGACGGCCCCTAGTGAAAGCTGCTCTGGTCCTTGGTCCTCGGTGGCGGCCTACAGTGGGCCGGAAGACCCGTGGAGGCGGCCAAAACTCTAGACGCGTTTGAGCTCCAGAGTCGCTAAATGGGACTCGAACCGAACGCGTGACCCCACCTGTGGATTCCTCAATCGGAGAGCAATCCATTGGTGGGGTCACACGTTCGGTTCGAATCCCACTAAGCGACGCTGGAGCTCAAAAAGCGTCTTGAGTTTCGTCCGCGTCCACCGGCCTTCTGGCCCACTGTGGGGCCAGGCCTTGGCCAGACCGAGGCCCACGGCGGGCGAGCTGGATGAGGGCCGCGCGGTCCACGGAGTCCGCGCGCACACAGCGCGTCAAAGGACTGTAGGTGGACTGATTCCGAGAGTCGTTTTCGTCGCTCTCTGTTTCTCTCGCACTCACGTAGCGTCCCGTGTGCTCTACAAATCAAAGAGTGTACATGGTACGCTCTAACTGGAGCATGCTTGCAAGCACGCTCTAACTAGCGCATGCCTGCCAAGCATGCACTAACTAGTGCATACATGTCATTCAGACGTTTACTCCATAAGGGATAGGGAGTTTTCTGCATCAGGAAGCGTGTACATGGCATGTATGCACTAGTTAGTGCATGCTTGGCAGGCATGCGCTAGCTAGAGCGTGCTTGCAGGCATGCTCCAGTTAGAGCATACTATGTACACTCTTTGATTTGTAGAGTGGGTGCGAGCGAGACGGAGCGGCGACCCTCGGAATCAGTCTGCTGCACGCTGCTCGGCGCAAAGCGGCGCGAAGCTCAAACCTTTGCCTCGCCGCCGTTTGCAAACAGGATTAGCCAGAGCCGAGCGGAGCCGATATCTCGGGGAAGGTGACCCAAGTGGCGTCCGAAGACGCGAGCACCGCACAGTGGGCCAGAAGACCGGCGGAGCCGGCAAAACTCCAGATGCGTTTTGAGCTCCAGAGTCGCTAAATGGGACTCGAACCGAACGTGTGACCCCACCAATGGATTGCTCTCCGAACGAGGTTCACGTTCGGTTCAAGGCCTGGTTAGCGACTCTGGAGCTCGAAATGCGTCTGGAGTTTTGGCCGCCTCCACCGGTCTTCTGGCCCACTGTGCGCCGCCGACGGTCTCCGATGAACACCGCGGCGCCGGGGAGCAAAGCGACAAGGCCACGACGGACACGGGCAAGCCCGGCAAACCCCGGCAGGGACATGAAGGCTTTGACGCCGCAGCGCCGGCCCAGCGCAGCCCGGGGTCCGCGGGGACACCCCAGCAACAGACTGATTCCGAGAAGGGGGCTGCTTTCTGTCTCTGTCTCTCTCGCAGGGTGACAGAGACAGACCGACGACGGGACGTCTAGCTCGGGATCTGTAGATCAGTCCGCAGAGCGACAGCCAGCCGTCCGCCGGACCGTTTGGACCCCTGCAGCGCTCGGCGGCACTCATGTCACGGAGACGCACAGTGGGCCAGAAGACAGGCGGCCAAAATCCCGGACGCGTTTTGAGCTCCAGAGTCGCTAAGCAGGATTTGAACCGAACGTGTGACCCCACCAATGGACTGCTCTCCGAACGAGGAATCCATTGGTGGGGTCACACGTTCGGTTCGAGTCCTGTTTAACGACTCTGGAGCTCAAAACGCGTGTAGCACTCTGGCCGCTTCCACCGCTCCTCTGGCCCACTTTGAACTGCCGCTCATGTCAAGGAGAGAGGAGGGGGCAGTCCAAGCCAGATCGGCAAGAAGCAACGCTGCAGCATGCATTCATGCATCG